GTCAAATATACAATTCAATCTCTGTAAAATTGCTGTTTAAAAGCAGGCACATTTGTGGCTGACCGCCTCGATTCGGTCTTATGTAGCAAAATTTGAAATTGTGTGGGATAAAAGTAGAAACTCAGAGCTAGAAAATGGTATATCATACACTACAGTCGAGGAACAATGGGAATGTAATTCTGCTTTGAAAGTTGATAAACTTGAGAAAATGGCCCGTGAAAGTTTTGGTACATCAACTGGAGAGCTCTTCTTTGTCTATACACATTCAGCATCGTTCACACCCTCTGAAGCCTTAGCCCCACCCATCTCTTTAAGGATTCACATGTGATGCCATTTGCTAAACAGAGTGATTTGTTTAGTTACGTAAACAACCAAAGATTAATCACCCCCAGACACACCTGGCTAACTTGATGGGTCATGTAATCTGGCGAAGTGTTTTGTTTAGACATGTAGCTCGCTAGCTAGCTAGCTAAACAATGAACCGGCATAATCCCAACTCTTACTACTACCAGCCAATACAAACATTGTCATAGCTGTAGTATGAATCTGCAGGTAGCTAAAGCTAACCAACCAGGTTCAATGTTAGCTAGCTAACATTAGGCTATAACTAAGAATGCTAATTTATTTATGATTCTAATAATATTACTACACAGATCATACACGTAATGTTAGCTAGCGAGCCAGCAAGCTAACGTTCGCTAGCTAACAGTACGCTTTAACTTGCAATGAAAACGACTTTCTGACAAAATTAGAAACTTAAAATACCTGAAAATGTAGCTAGACTCTTACCCGTGTACATGGATGAATGCTTCATGGCAGACTGGAACCATTTAACTAAGTTTTTGGTTGGCCAGCGTTGTGTCAAGTCACTCCGGTTCACACTGACTGTGGCATGTGCAGAAAGTAGCAAATCACTTTTATCTGTCGATAGATTCAGGGCATCAATATTGTTGAGAAAAGTAGCAAAACTTTTGTAGTTCTCGATGGCTAGCGTTATATATTTCAAAAGACGGCGCGGTAGAAAGGACTATCAACACATTCTGAGCAGCTCATGTTATAAACAGAAGCATGCTACATGGCATACCAGAACTCCCGGCATGTCCAGCCATTATCTCAGCCAATCATGGCTAGCGGGAAGGTTCCTGTCTTTTTCCGTGGCTAAACCAACTAGGTTTCGTAATTTAACAATTGTATTTGCATTTACGGATGGAATACAAGTTTGTTATTAAGGCACATGAAAGTTCACGTCCAGAAGGAATTTCTGCCAAAAAATGCATTTAGATTAAACATTTATGTTTACGTTCAAATTCCTCTCCTGTGAAGTAGTGACATGTGACATATGCCTAGTTTCCTGAAACAAGTCACATTTGTCCGTAAATAATGAAGTGCTACTGTAATTTCATGAATAAGTCATTACTGTGTATTTATGGTTTTCTCCAGGTTATGCTATAAGGTAGTGTTCCTGGTGTAGCACTTCTGTGGGAAAGCTCCTGTTTCAATCAATATAGATTTTTCTATTAAGATAACAGACAAGGTCTACCGAAACTAAATATATTGTCAGGTGTTGCTGTAATTAGTGCTGTTGCGGTGACCATATTACCTCCACACCGGCGGTTACGAGTCATGAAGGCAGTCAAATTCGACGTGACCGTTTAGTCATGGTAATTAGGCTTCTCCAAGCTCTGATGCTGCTGCTGGTGGTCATTAGTAGCCTACCAAACTTGCTAACTGCCTGGTACTCAGCACTCTATTGTCCCTCTAATTACTCTGACATCAATGCAAATGTAATCGAAAATCTAATCAAACACTTCATGAGAGCCCATGAGCTCATGTTGCGCAACATTTCTATAGGCTATGCAATTGCGTGAGAAAACAGATGGCCTCTACTAAAAAGAGGAGGATCCCATCAGCTTTCTATAGGCTAGGCCTACTATATTTATTTCTCTACTTTCCTAATATTAAGCACATTGCTTATATTTACAACAGGAGTATAGCGTACCTGGCTGGAATGAAAATGAACCATGCGAAAAGCGTCCTCCATTCGCTATTTAAGTGCATAGATTACATGTGTTTTATCCCGCTGCCCGTTACGATCAGGTGCATGATAATGGTCCATTCTAAATAAAAACAAATTTCACACATATATTATTTAGTATATGTGAAGACAAGATTAAATCAAGAATAGTCTGATGGGTGACAATATTAGCCTATCACCTGTGAATTATATATTATCACTTGTGAATGATGCCCAGCATAAGAAACAATGCCTTTTTTTTGCGACTTTTTCTAATCATAGTCACACACCTCATGTAGCCTAGCCCATTGGCCTATATGTTTTGATAAGGTTTGTATCACAACTAAAGTGGCCAAATAACTTCTTAAAATGAAGCACATTAATCCGCTTTACAATGGGTGTAGAGCCTAACTGGCATACATAAGCAGCGCGTGAGTTTCAAGTTTGGGGAAGATAATTTTCACCATAAAAATGCACCTTTATAATAAAAGCATTACATGCATAATTGCATTTGCAGTCACTTTTGATATACTGTTTTCCGCTAATCAAAAATTCACGCTTATAGCCTACTGCCGTGTGCGCATTGCTGCACTTATAATGTGAAGCATAGCCTAATAGTTTATCAACATTTTAAGCGAAAAGTTCTGATCTGTTGCGTGAAAAAGTTTTTTTTTAATGCTAGTGGTTGTATTAATTTGGGATCTATCGCATCTCACAACTGTCCCAGACTATGTTTGGAATATTTATTTCTCGCACAGAATAGAATAGGTTGACTTTTGTACGATGGGGGATAGTAGATTGACATATACTAGTGCTTTTTCTGTTTGTTAGGCTTACTCATCTTGTTGGCTGATGAAAAGTTATTCCAATATCTTCAATATGCACCTCGGAATTGGATATGGACACGCGCAGTTGCGTCCCCGATGTGTCAGTCTTCACTTGTAGCCTGTGAGAAAGGCCCGATCACCTGATGGAGAGCCATGTGAGTGAGAGGTGATTCGGAGCACTCAGGGAGAAGGGCACAACGGCCACTGGCCGCAAAAGGCATGTGCAACGCAGGTCAACTAATGTTGAATACTTATCGTTACTAGTGATATTCCAGTAACCAAGCATATTATATTGTGATATGTTTACAAGTTGACAGCTATTACAAATCAGCTGTCAGAAGCTGCATGACGAGCAGTTTATTTTGAGCCAATCAAAACTCAATATTCTATCTTAGTCCCTCTCCTAACTTCACGTTCTACACCAGTGGGCACCAACATGTTGAAAACGAGCTAGAACGGAACGTGAAGCGCTACTGCCATTCTATGGAAGAAAAACAAAGTTTCAAATCGTTGTGAGAAGTTGTATAAAACTGAACTAAAAAGAGAAAAACGGATATTAACACTCACTTATCTATACGAACGCGCTGTGAAGGGGTTGAGGGAAAGATTGACGCCAGGATTTGGTGAGTTTTCATAAGAGAACGAGCTGCTAGCGATTAGCCTAGCTAAGCTATTGCTAGCATTTTTTGCATGTTCATACTGAACCAAGCATATGCACAAGCCGTTAACATTTAGGCTAGCTCAGCTATCGATCAATTGAAATAGCAAACGTTAGTGATCATGCTAATCATGCATGCAACTATTTTAGTTTTCATACTTTTATAAAATGTGATTAGCTATTATCATAATCCATTTTGGTACACAGTTATGTTTTAGATTACTTTATAAGAAGTTGTGTATAGGTGTAAGCACTAGTACTTTCCATTTGCCCAGGCTAGTCTATTGTTCAGTTCATGTGAGCCTGGTGCTGTAGTTAAAGTGTAAAGCATTTTGACTAAGTTTTATTTTCTTATTCCTTTAAGAGATTAAAGCTAAGAGCTATGTTATTCCATCTCATAGTGGTTTATGTCAGTATTTGTGAATTTGGTTGTGTTTTTCTGTGGATTCATGTTTATTGTATTTGTATTGAACTTTGAAAACTGAGATACCCTCAGATTAAAATAGTTGGGTGCACCCTAGTAAACTATAGGCAGGATATATGACCGATATCTAAGTCTATTGTACTGTTGATGTATTGAATTCATATTGAGCTCATTGTACAAATTTCACATATCAATATTTACAAGGTGATTTCTTTTGTAATAATTTTTATTTACAAAATACAAGCCGGCATTCTTTTCCTAAATTAATCAGTTGTGCGGTCTTCATTTCTCCCTACTGCTCCAGTAGCGAACCTAACTGGTCTAATATAGTTTAAGCTTAAACATACAGTAGCCCATAGTGTTAAGCAATTGTTACACATGGATTTTTTTAGGGTGCATTACAGCCACACAAAGGGGATGCCGCCATGAAATTCTAGGCATTATCAAGTGCTTGTCAAGTTGTGAATGATGTAGTGTTTACAGTCTGCGCAAAAACAAAGCAGAGCTCATGCCTTTCAAGCAACTTTTTTAAAATCATCATTAGAGTCGCATCATGCAGCCTTACAATGTATTAAAAATCAAAACATATAGCCCAACGTTTGTAGAACAACTAAAGTTACATTAATAACTCTAAATTAAGCATATAGGAATACCTATTTCTTTGTTAACCGCTCAACACACAATAGCCGTATGTGCGCACTCCCTCAAATTGTTTGGAGAAAATATCCTTTCTATTTTATTCAGCTTTGTTCAATTGTATTCTTCATGCTATAAAATAATGCCAAATCCTGTCTGCTAAATTAACTAGTGTAGCCCACAGCCATTTGGCATAGCCAGATCAGGACCTAACATAAGGACAACTCAGAGTATGCTATCCTGTTCTTCTGAAATAGACTACATTTTCTTCATATTATGCTTTTTAGACCCGTCTAAAATAAATAATGGATTTATTGTGAAGGTGTAGGCTATATTACATGGATTTATTATACTTTTTCAAATGTAGATGTTCCAGAGGTCTGCATCAGTGGCTTGTAGGCTATGTGTGGAAGCCAGGAGATGCTAAATGAGTTCGTTAATTAACGGTCAATTACCGTGAGACCGACAGTTATTTGCTTGACTGTCACCGGCTGACGGAATTTCGTGACCACCACAGCCCCAGTTGTAACACATAATTAACATATTTATTTAAAGAAATACATTTATCATATTTACTTAGTTTGTTAGATAACAGATGTTGGATATGAACAGAAATACTGAAACATTTCAATCTCAGTTTATTTTTTTAACTGTACACCTCAACTCCAAGGCATACACTGAGAGTCCAAAAGCAGCTCCAACTTGAAAGTCATTATAAATGCTGTTCAGTTTGTAGGCCTTTCGGTTGCCTTATTTCCCTCTACATCCTTGCTGATATAACACCAAGGTGTGACTTTCAGGGACTTCACCCAAGAGGGTGAGATTCAATCCAAGGCCTCTTATAGAGCAGCGCACTGGACAGCTGAACATGCGCCTTTGAAAGGAAATATCCCTGACGTTCGAGGGTATCACATTCACGGTAAACACTGTGCATGTCAGCTCAAGTATAAATTACCTTTAAAAGTCAAGAGCCATGCGCTGCTATATAACGTGCCTTGGATTGAATCCCAGACTTGGTTGTTCAGGCTCTGAGTAATGTCTTGAGCCTGGGGAACAGGCGCAGGGCATTCTGTGTCGTCACCTCCATCACCGTCTCCAAGGGAACCCCTTTGATCTTACTGATGTACTCAGCACAGACAGAGATATTCTTCGGCTCATTTCTCACCTATGTTTAAGACGCAAAAGCATGACTAGTGTTAGTAATACCATCTCTAAAAAATATTCTTAGATGTATAAAATCACTTTCAAACATTCTTTGATGTACAACCACTTTCAAACCAGGATAAAGTCAATGTTCTACACTGAACAAAAATATAAACATTTCAAAGATTTTACTGAGTTACAGTTCATATAAGGAAATCAGTCAATTGAAATGAATTCATTAGGCCTTAATCTACGGATTTCACATGACTGGGAATACAGATATGCCTCTGTTAGTCACTGATACCTTTAAAAAAAAGGTAGGGGCGTGGATCAGAAAACCAGTCAGTGTCTGGTGTGACCAACATTTGCCTCATGCAGCGCAACACATCTCCTTTGCATAGAGTTGATCAGGCTGTTAATTGCGGTCTGTGGAATGTTGTCCCACTCCTCTTCAATGGTTGTGCGAAGTTGCTGGATATTGGTGGGAACTGGAACATGCTGTCGTACACATTGATCCAGAGCATCACAAACATGCTCAATGGGTGGCATGTCTGGTGAGTATGTAGGCCATTGAAGAACTGGGACATTTTCAGCTTGTGTACAGATCCTTGCGACATGGGGCTGTGCATTATCATGCTGAAACATGAGGTGATGGCGGTGGATGAATGGCACGACAATGGGCCTCAGGATCGCGTCACGGTATCTCTGTGCATTCAAATTGCCATTGATAAAATGCAATTGTGTTCGTTGTCCGTAGCTTATGCCTGCCCAAACCATAACCCCACCGCCACCATGGGGCACTCTGTTCACAACGTTGACATCAGCAAACCGCTCGCCCACATGAAGCCATACACGTGGTCTGCGGTTGTGAGGCCGGTTGGACCTACTGCCAAATTCTCTAAAACAACTTTGGAGGCAGCTTATGGTAGAGAAATTAACATTCAATTCTCTGGCAACAGGTCTGATAGGCATTCCTCCCTCAAAACTTGAGACATCTGTGGCATTGGGTTGTGTGACAAAACTGCACATTTTAGAGTGGCCTTTTATTGTCCCCAGCACAAGGTGCACCTGTGTAATGATCATGCTGTTTAATCAGCTTCTTGATATGCCACACCTGTCAGGTGGATGGATTATCTTGGCAAAGGAGACATGCTCACTAACAGGGATGTAAACACATTTGTGCACAACATTTGAGAGAAAGAAGGTTTTTGTGTGTATGGAACATTTCTGGGATCTTTTAGTTCAGCTCATGAAATATGGGACCAACACTTTACATGTTGTGTTTATATTTTTGTTCAGTATATATAAACTGTGTTATGTTTTATGTATATTGCACTTTGTTTTTGTGTGTAAATAAATAAATAAGTTAACAATCCTACCTGTTTCTCTGGACCCAAGGCAGGTGAATCGGTTTCTAGACACATGCTCTCCAGCGGCAGCTGTTTCACTAGCTTCTGCTTCTTGTGGGAAAACACATTTAAAAAAAGAAAGAGACATATAAGTTCAAATTAAGTGACATAGTTCAGACAGTACAAGACTCACATCTGTTCAGATAAAATGCATCAAACATTTTTTTTTAACAATGTGTGAACAAGTGCTGTAGTGTTAGTACTACTAAGTGTGAGAAAACAAATCAAATTGCTATTTATTTAAATGCATTTAACAAAAGCCTCAATACACTTAAAGAAAAAGAAAGTTATAATTTAAAAAACTATTTACCTGTTCACTTCTTACTATAGATGGAGGAATGGAGAAGAAATACCCAGCCTTCACTCCCTCCATGGCAACTGAGGGTTTCCCATCAAAAGCATGAAGAAGAGCTTTCTCAACACCTAGTGGAAAGTCAAAAGACATGCATTGTTTTCTATATGAATTATTTTGGCAAAGTATTCACACCCCTTGACTTTTTCCACATTTAGTTGTGATACAAGGTGGGATTAAAATGGATGTCCTTTTTTTGTCAAAGTTCTACACTAAATACTCTGTCAAAGTGGAAGAAAAATTATAACGTTTGTAAAAATAAAAAAACACGAATATATCTTGATTACATACAGTGGGGAGAACAAGTATTGATACACTGCCGATTTTGCAGGTTTTCCTACTTACAAAGCATGTAGAGGTCTGAAATGTTTATCATAGGTACACTTCAACTGTGAGAGACGGAATCTAAAACAAAAATCCAGAAAATCACATTGTATGATTTTTAAGTAATTCATTTGCATTTTATTGCATGACATAAGTATTTGATACATCAGAAAAGCATAACTTAATATTTGGTACAGAAACCTTTGTATGCAATTACAGAGATCATACATTTCCTGTAGGTCTTGACCAGGTTTGCACTCACTGCAGCAGGGATTTTGGACCACTCCTCCATACAGACCTTCTCCAGATCCTTCAGGTTTCGGGGCTGTCGCTGGGCAATACGGACTTTCAGCTCCCTTCAAATATGTTCTATTGGGTTCAGGTCTGGAGACTGGCTAGGCCACTCCAGGACCTTGAGATGCTTCTTACGGAGCCACTCCTTAGTTGCCCTGGCTGTGTGTTTTGGGTCGTTGTCATGCTGGAAGACCCAGCAACGACCCATCTTCAATGCTCTTACTGAGGGAAGGAGGTTGTTGGCCAAGATCTCGCAATACATGGCCCCATCCATCCTCCCCTCAATACGGTGCAGTCGTCCTGTCCCCTTTGCAGAAAAGCATCCCCAAAGAATGATGTTTCCACCTCCATGCTTCACGGTTGGGATGGTGTTCTTGGGGTTGTACTCATCCTTCATCTTCCTCCAAACACGGCGAGTGGAGTTTAGACCAAAAAGCTCTATTTTTGTCTCATCAGACCACATGACCTTCTCACATTCCTCCTCTGGATCATCCAGATGGTCATTGGCAAACTTCAGACGGGCCTGGACATGCACTGGCTTGAGCAGGGGGACCTTGCGTACGCTGCAGGATTTTAATCCATGACGGCGTAGTGTGTTACTAATGGTTTTCTTTGAGACTGTGGTCCCAGCTCTCTTCAGGTCATTGACCAGGTCCTGCCGTGTAGTTCTGGGCTGATCCCTCACCTTCCTCATGATCATTGATGCTCCACGAGGTGAGATCTTGCATGGAGCCCCAGACCGAGGGTGATTGACCGTCATCTTGAACTTCTTCCATTTTCTAATAATTGCGCCAACAGTTGTTGCCTTCTCACCAAGCTGCTTGCCTATTGTCCTGTAGCCCATCCCAGCCTTGTGCAGGTCTACAATTGTATCCCTGATGTCCTTACACAGCTCTCTGGTCTTGGCCATTGTGGAGAGGTTGGATTCTGTTTGATTGAGTGTGTGGACAGGTGTCTTTTATACAGGTAACGAGTTCAAACAGGTGCAGTTAATACAGGTAATGAGTGGAGAACAGGAGGGCTTCTTAAAGAAAAACTAACAGGTCTGTGAGAGCCGGAATTCTTACTGGTTGGTAGGTGATCAAATACTTATGTCATGCAATAAAATGCAAATTAATTACTTAAAAATCATACAATGTGATTTACTGGATTTTTGTTTTAGATTCCGTCTCTCACAGTTGAAGTGTACCTATGATAAAAATTACAGACCTCTACATGCTTTGTAAGTAGGAAAACCTGCTAAATCGGCAGTGTATCAAATACTTGTTCTCCCCACTGTAGGTATTCAGCCCCCTAAGTCAACACATGTTAGAATCACCTTTGGCAGCGATTACAGCTGTGAGTCTTTCTGGGTAAGTCTCTAAGAGATCTGGATTGTACAATATTTGCACATTATTATTTTTAAAGTTCTTCAAGCTCTGTGAAGTTGGTTGTTGATCATTGCTAGATGGCCATTTTCAAGTCTTGCCATAGATTTCCAAGCCAATTTAAGTCAAAACTGTAACTAGGCCACTCAGGAATATTCAATGTTGTCTTGGTAAGCAACTCCAGTGTATATTTGGCCTTGTGTGTTTTAGGTTATTGTCCTGTTGAAAGGTGAATTTGTCTCCCAGTGTCTGTTGGAAAACAGACTGAACCAGATTTTCTTCTAGGATTTTGCCTGTGCTTAGCTCTATTCTGTTAATTTTTATCCCAAAAAACTCCCTAGTCCTTGCCGTTGACAAGCATACCTATAACATGATGCAGCCACTACCATGCTTGAAAATATGAAGAGTGGTACTCTGTGATGAGTTGTGTTGGATTTGCCCCAAACATAACGCTTTGTATTCAGGACTAGGGCTGTTACGGTGACTGTAATACCGCCACACCAGCGGTTACGAGTCATGACGGCAGTCAAATTACACGTGACCGTTTAGTCACGGTAATTAGGCTTCTCCAACTCTGATGCTGCTAATAGTCATTAGTAGCCTACCAAACTTGCTAACTGCCTGGTACTCAGCACTCTATTGTCACTCTTATCACTCTGACATTAATGCAAATGTAATCGAAAATCTAATCAAACACTTCATGAGAGACCATGAGCTCAAGTTGCGCAACATTTCTATAGGCTATGCAATCGCATGAGACAACAGAGTGATGGCCTCTATTAAAAAGAGGAGGATCCCATCAGCTTTCTATAGGCTAGGCCTACTATATAGCACACTGCTTCTCTTTACAGCAGGAGTATAGCCTACCTGGCTGGCATGAAAATGAACCATGGGAAAAGCGTCCTCCATTCTCTATTTAAGTGCATAGATTACATTAAATTTTTTCCGCTGCCCGTGTTTCGAGACAGGTGCATGATAATGGTCCATTCTAAATAAAAACAAATTTCACACATATTATTTAGTATATGTAAAGACAATATTAAATCAAGATGGGTGACAATATTAGCCTATCACTTGTGAATGATATATTATCACTTGTGAATGATGCACAGCTTATGGCAAGAAACAGCGCATATTTTTTGTGTGACTTTTTCAAATCATAGTGGCACACCTCATGTAGCCTAGCCCATTGGCCTATAAGGTTTGTATCACAACTAAAGTGGCCAAATAACTTCTTAAAATGAAGCACATTAATCCACTTTACAATGGGTGTAGAGCCTAACAGGCACACATACGCAGCGCGTCAGTTTCATGTTTGGGGAAGATACTTTCACCAATAACTCTAAATTAAGCATATAGGTGTACCCGTTTCTTTGTTAACCGCTCAACACAGAATAGCCGCATGTGCACACGCCCTCAAATCGTTTGGAGAAAATATCCTTTCTATTTTATTAAACTATGTTCAAATGTATTCTTCATACTATAAAATAATTCCACAGAATTCGAATCAAATCTTGTCTGCTAAATTAACTAGTGTAGCCAACAGCCATATGGCATAGCCAGATCAGGGTCTAACATAAGGACAACTCAGAGTATGCTATTCTGTTCTTCTAAAATAGACGACATTTTCTTCATATCGTTAACTCAAAATGACACAACGACTAGGTTCCAGTTTAACAACGTATTTCCACAGTCCATAGTTGCCATCACACTCAGGCCAGGTCTATCTCCAGTGAGACTACTGCGCAGGTGCACTAATAACAGAGTGATAGTGCCGTCATAATAACATAGGGATATTTAACACATGAACTTAACACATATCATGTTTCTTTAGACCTGTCTAAAACAAATAATGGATATATTGTGATGGTGTAGGCTATATTACATGGATCTATTAGACTTCTTAAAATGTAGATGTTCTGAAAGGTCTGCGTCAGTGGCTTGTAGGCTATGCGTGGAAGGCAGGAGATACTACATGTGTTTGTTAATTAACAGTACATTACCGTGAGACCGGCAGTTATTTGCTTGACTGTCACCGGCTGACAAAATTTCATGACCGCCACAGTCCTATTCAGGACATAAAGTACATGTTTTGCAGTATTACTTAAGTGACTTGTTGCAAACAGGATGCATGTTTTGGAATATTTTAATCTGTACAGTCTTCCTTCTTTTCACTCTGTCATTTAGGCTAGTATTGTGGAGTAACTACAATGTTGTTGAACCATCCTCAGTTTTCTATCACAGACATTAAACTCTGTATCTGTTTTAAATTCACCATTGGCCTCATGGTGAAATCCCAAAGCAGTTTCCTTCCTCTCCGGCAACTGAGTTAGGAAGGACGCCTGTCTCTTCGTAGTGACTGGGTGTATTGATACACCATCCAAAGTGTAATTAATAACTTCACCATGCTCAAAGGGATATTTAATGTCTGCTTTTTTTTTTACCCATCTACAGTACCTATAGGTGCCCTTCTTTGCAAGGCATTGGAAAACCTCTCTGGTCTTTGTGGTTGAATCCGTGTTTGAAATTCACTGCTCGACTGAGGGACCTTAAAAATAATTGTACAGTGGCTTGCGAAAGTATTCACCCCCCTTGGCATTTTTCCTATTTAGTTGTCTTACGACCTGGAATTAAAATTGATTTTTGGGGGTTTGTATCATTTGATTTACACATCATGCCTACCACTTTGAAGATGCAAAATATTTGTTCTTGTGAAACAAACAAGAAATAAGACAAAAAAACAGAAAACTTGAGCGTGCATAACTATTCACCCCCCCCCAAAGTCAATACTTTGTAGAGCCACCTTTTGCAGCAATTACAGCTGCAAGTCTCTTGTGGTATGTCTCTATAAGCTTGGCACATCTAGCCACTGGGATTTTTGCCCATTCTTCAAGGCAAAACTGCTCCAGCTCCTTCAAGTTGGATGGGTTCCGCTGGTGTACAGCAATCTTTAAGTCATACCACAGATTCTCAATTGGATTGAGGTCTGGGCTTTGACTAGGCCATTCCAAGACATTTAAATGTTTCCCCTTAAACCTTGAGCGTTGCTTTAGCAGTATGCTTAGGGTCATTGTCCTGCTGGAAGGTGAACCTCCGTCCCAGTCTCAAATCTCTGGAAGACTGAAACAGGTTTCCCTCAAGAGCTTCCCTGTATTTAGCGCCATCCATCATTCCTTAAACTCTGACCAGTTTCCCAGTCCCTGCCGATGGTGTTCTCGGGGTGATGATAGGTGTTGGGTTTGCGCCAGACATAGCGTTTTCCTTGATGGCCAAAAAGATCAATTTTAGTCTCATCTGACCAGAGTACCTTCTTCCATATGTTTGGAGAGTCTCCCACATGCCTTTTTGCGAACACCAAACGTGTTTGCTTATTTTTTTCTTTAAGCAATGGCTTTTATCTGGCCACTCTTCCGGAAAGCCCAGCTCTGTGGAGTGTACGGCTTAAAGTGGCCCTATGGACAGATAATCCAATCTCCGATGTGGAGCTTTGCAGCTCCTTCAGGGTTATCTTTGGTCTCTTTGTTGCCTCTCTGATTAATGCCCTCCTTCCCTGGTCTGTAAGTTTTGGTGGGCGGCCCTTTCTTGGCAGGTTTGTTGTGGTACCATATTTTTTCAATTTTTTAATAATGGATTTAATGGTGCTCCGTGGGATGTTCAAAGTTTCTGATATTTTTTATAACACAACCCTGATCTGTACTTATCCACAACTTTGTCCCACACCTGTTTGGAGAGCTCCTTGGTCTTCATGGTGCCGCTTGCTTGGTGGTGCCCCTTGCTTAGTGGTGTTGCTCTGGGGCCTTTCAGAACAGGTGTATATATACTGAGATGTGGATATGCTCTGATGTACAGTTGAAGTCAGAGGTTTACATACACTTAGGTTGGAGTCATTAAAACTTGTTTTTCAACCACTCCACAAATGTCTTGTTAACAAACTATAGTTTTGGCAAGTTGTTTAGGACATCTACTTTGTGCATGACACAAGTAATTTTTCCAACAATTGTTTACAGACAGATTATTTCAATTATAATTCACTGTATCACAATTCCAGTGGGTCAGAAGTATATATACACTAAGTTGACTGTGCCTTTAAACAGCTTGGAAAATTCCAGAAAATGGTGTCATGGCTTTAGAAGTTCTGATAGGCTATTGACATCATTTGAGTCAATTAGAGGTGTACCTGTGGATGTATTTCAAGGCCTACCTTCATACTCAGTGCCTCTTTGCTTGACATCATGGGAAAATCAAAAGAAATCAGCCATGACCTCAGAAAATAAATTGTAGACCTCCACAAGTCTGGTTCATCCTTGGGAGCAATTTACAAACACCTGAAGGTACCACTTTCATCTGTCCAAGCAATAGTACGCAAGTATAAACACCATGGGACCACGCAGCCGTCATACCGCTCAGGAAGGAGACGTGTTCTGTCTCCTAGAGATGAACGTACTTTGGTGCGAAAAGTGCAAATCAATCCCAGAACAACAGCAAAGGACCTTGTGAAGATGCTGGAGGAAACAGGTACAAAAGTATCTACAGTAAAACGAGTCCTATATCGACATAACCTGAAAGGCCGCTCAGCAAGGAAGAAGCCACAGCTCCAAAACCGCCATAAAAAAGCCAGACTACGGTTTGCAACTGCACATGGGGACAAAGATCATACTTTTTGGAGACATGTCCTCTGGTCTGATGAAACAAAAATAGAACTGTTTGGCCATAATGAACATTGTAATGTTTGGAGGAAAGAAGTGGTGGCTTGCAAGCCGAAGAACACCATCCCAACCGTGAAGCACGGGGGTGGCAGCATCATGCTGTGGGGGTGCTTTGCTGCAGGAGGGACTGGTGCACTTCACAAAATAGATAGCATCATGAGGAAGGAAAATTATGTGGATATATTGAAGCAACATCTCAAGACATCAGTCAGGAAGTTAAAACTTGGTCACAATTGGGTCTTCCAAATGGACAATGACCCCAAGCATACTTCCAAAGTTGTGGCAAAATTGCTTAAGGACAACAAAGTCAAGGTATTGGAGTGGCCATCACAAAGCCCTGACCTCAATCCTATAGAACATTTGTGGGCAGAACTGAAAAAGCGTGTGCGAGCAAGGAGGCCTACAAACCTGACTCAGTTACACCAGCTCTGTCAGGAGGAATGGGCCAAAATTCACCCAACTTATTGTGGGAAGCTTGTGGAAGGCTATCCGAAATGTTTGACCCAAGTTAAACAATTTAAAGGCAATGCTACCAAATACTAATTGAGTGTATGTAAACTTCTGACCCACTGGGAATGTGATGAAAGAAATAAAAGCTGAAATAAATCATTCTCTCTACTATTATTCTGACATTTCACATTCTTAAAATAAAGTGGTGATCCTAACTGATCTAAAACAGGGAATTTCTACTAGGATTAAATGTCAGGAATTGTGAAAAACTGAGTTTAAATGTATTTGGCTAAGGTGTATGTAAAAATCAGACTTCAACTGTATATACTGAGATCATGTGACATCATGTGACACTTAGATTGCACACAGGTGGACTTTATGTAACTAATTATATGACTTCTGAAGGTAATTGGTTGCACCAGATCTTATTTAGGGGCTTCATAGCAAAGGGGGTGAATATATATGCACGCACCACTTTTCTGTTATTTATTTTCTGGAAAAAATTGTTTTTTTCACTTCACTTCTAAGCTGAAATATGCTTTAAATATTAAATATGAGTGTTCGTGACTATCGTGTTCGTAAGAGCCTTCCACGGAGTGGTCATAATAGTTTGTAGGTCAAACCATTCGGACGCTACAGACGTTTTCATGAGAAGACCGATTTTCAGGATGTCTCATGGTCTGATAAACACCGCTCTAGCTCTGCCACCTTTCACTGCAGATGCGGAAGTGTGACATAGGCGGATGCGGTTGATTGACACGGATTTTGATGGGGATTTTTTTATTATTTTACTTAGATTGACGCACCGCTGCGTCAATTGACTCTAGGGGGTTAAACACTATTATTGCACACAGAGTGAGTCCATGCAACTTATTAAGCACATTTTTACTGCTGAACTTATTTAGGCTTGCCATAACAAAAGGGTTGAATACTTATTAACTAAAGACATTTCAGCTTTTCATTTTTAATTAATTTGTTTTAAGAAATCTGGGAAAATGTGGAAAAAGTCAAGGGGTGTGAATACTTTCTGAAGGCACTGTATATGCATGTGAACAGAAATATGTAATATTGATCATAACCCAGAACCATATGGAGATACACTATATATACAAAAGTATTTGGACACCCCTTCAAATTAGTGGATTTGGCTATTTCAGCCACACCCTTTGCTGACAGGTGTATAAAATCGAGCACACAGCCATGCAATCTCCATCAACAAACATTGGCAGAATAATGCCTTGCTGAAGAGCTCAGTGACTTCCAACATGGCACCGTCATAGGATGCCACCTTTCCAACAAGTCAGTTTGTCAAAATTCTGCCCTGCTAGAGCTGCCCCGGTCAACTGTAAGTGCTGTTATTGTGAAGTGGAAACAGCTAGGAGCAACAATGGCTCAGCCGCGAAGTGGTAGGCCCCACAAGCTCTCCGAATGGAACCGCCGAGTGCAACACTCACTACCAAGTTCCAAACTGCCTCTGGAAGCAACGTCAGTACAGTAACTTTGTCGGGAGCTTCATGAAATGGGTTTCCATGGCCAAGCAGCCGCACACAAGCCTAAGATCACCACGCGCAATGCCAAGCATCGGCTGGAGTGGTGTAAAGCTCACTGCCATTGGACTCTGGAGCAGTGGAAACGCGTTCTCTTGAGTGATGAATCACGCTTCACCATCTGGCAGTCCGACGGACAAATCTGGGTTTGGCGGATGCCTGGAGAACACTACCTGTCTCACGGTAACTTGACTGGCCTGCACAGAGCCCTGACCTCAACCCCATCGATCACCTTTAGGATGAATTGGAACTCCAACTGCGAGCCAGGCCTAATCACCCAACATCAGTGCCCTACCTCACTAATGCTCTTGTGGCTGAATGGAAGCAAGTCCCCGCAGCAATGTTCCAACATCTAGTGGAAAGCCTTCCCAGAAGAGTGGAGGCTGCTATAGCAGCAAAGGGGGGACCAGATCCATATTAATGCCCATGATTTTGGTATGAGATGTTCAATGAGCACGTGTCCACATACTTCTGGTCATGTAGTGTACATAGAAATATGTGCAATTACCTTGCTCCTTTAGCAGGTGGATAGTAGGTCTGCCTGCAGATCTTGAATGGACATTTCTAAACAATGGATACATGTTACAGAAACCATGTGACAATATATATTGATTAAAACAAACAGGCGTTGAGGAAAATGTATCAATACAAACAACAACGCATGCTCAATCATTTTGATTTGGTTTATATTAGTGTGAGACTCACAGTGGAAGGTCCAATTGTTTTGCAATCTCTGCCTGCCGAATAAGCACCTGTCTTTGACTGTCTTTGTCCGTGTCACCACTGACAAATCTGGGGGTGAAATCCAAGCCTACCTGTCAGTGAAGGCAATGAAGACTGATTATCAGTGATGTAAGATCATCAACCAACCACTTACTACCGGTGTCGCCCCGCTTACTGCTAGCTACTCCGGGAGGCGGGGGCGACACCGTTTGCTACGAGTTACTGTCTAGTGTGGCTCTAACTCCAGCCTCATATAGTGCCTTGCAAAAGTATTCATACCCATTGGATTTCTTCACGTGTTATTGTGTTACAAAGTGGGATTAAAATGGATTTAATAAAAAAATCTGCAATCTACACAAAATACTCTATAATGTCAAAGTGGAAGATATAAAAAGCAGAAAAAAGATGAATAGACATTAAATAACTAAGTTATTAGCTCCCCGAGTCAATACATGATAGAAACAACTTTGGCAGCGATTACAGCTGCGGGTCTTCTTGGGAAGGTCTCTAAGAGCTTTACACAACTGGATTGTGCAATATTAGCCCATTACTATTTTCATAATTCATGACTAGACAGCAATTTTCAAGTCTTGCTATTGATTTTCAAGCAGATTTAAGTCAGAACTGTAACTTGGCCACTCAGGAACATTCATTGTCTTCTTGGTAAGCAACTCCAGTGTAGATTTTGTCCTGCTGAAAGGTGAATTACTCTTCCAGGGTCTGGTGTAAAGCAGAATGAAGCAGGTTTTCCTCTAGGATTTTGCCTGTGTCTAGCTCCATCCTGAAAAACGTATTGGTATTTGCCAATGTCAAGCATACCCATACCACGATGCAGCCACTACCATGCTTGAAAATAAGGAGGCAGTTACTCAGTAACGTGGTGTGTTGGATTTGCCCCAAACATAAAGCTTTGCATTTAGGCCAAAATGGTTATTCCTTTGCCGTGTTTTTTTGCAGTATTACTTTAGCGCCTTGTTGCATACAAAATGCATGCATTTGTATTATTTTCACTCTGTCATTGAAGTCATTATTGTGTAGACACTACAATGTTGTTGATCCAACCTCAGTTTTTTCCTATCACAGCCATTGTAACCGTTTTAAAATCACCAATGGCCTCATGGTAGCATCCCTGAGCACTTTCATTTCTGTCCTGCAGCTCAGTTCAGAAGGACGACTGTATCTTCAATGTGTCTGGGTGGTTTCATACATAATCCACAACATAATTATTAACTTGACCATGCTTAAAGAGATATTCAGTGTCTGATTTATTATTGTTACCCATCTACTAATCACTGCCCTTCTAAATGAGGCTTTCGAAATGCTCCCTGGTCTTTGCAGTTTAATCTCTGCTTGAAATTCAATACTTGACTGAGGGACCTTACATATGTTGTATGTATGGGGGACAGAGGAAGGGTTAGTCATGAAAAAAAGCATGTCAACCCCTATTATTTCACACAGAGTGAGTTCATGTAACTTATTATCTGATTTACTAAGCCAAATTCGACTCCTGAACTAATTTAGGCTTGCCAAAAACAAAGGGGCTGAATACTTATGCAACAACTATCTTTTAGTTATATTAATTTGTATTAATCTTTTTTTTAAATATACATTTTCTACCACTTTGACATTACAGAGTATTTTGAGTAGATTGTTGACAATGAAATTACAATGAAATACATTTTAACCCCACTTTGTAACACAATAAAATGTGAAGAAATCCAAGGGGTATGAATACTTTTGCAAGGCACATAGAGAAATTTGCCTGCTGGACGAGATTAGTGTGGATCTGTTTCAATCTGCACACAAAATCAATACAAAGACTACTTACCTCCCCAATAGCAACAAGATGGTCTTTATATTTCTCTATCAGGGGCAAAGCAGCATCTAAATCCTGCATAGAGAAAATATGACCATTTAACATACAGTGCCATAGTAGACAAGCATTATGATGGTGATGGCGATGAAGATGATGATCTTTGTTTGGGGCACATACCTGGAGTAAGGCTCCTCTCTGTGGCTCAGGAGCTGTCCCCTGTACAGGATGGACACCTAAACAAGGGAAAATAAAGCCTGGGAACCTCTGTGACAGCTGTATGATCTTTTCAAACTCTCCGGCATTTTCTGCTACTGCTAGTAGTGCTAAAAGCCCAGCCTGAAACAAAATAAAGTTGTATTGGTCGCATACACATATTTTGCAGATGTTATCGTGGGTGTAGCAAAATGCTTATGTTCCTAGCTCCAACAGTGCACTAATACCTAACAATACAAAACAATACACGCAAATACAAAAAATCAAAAGAAAGCATTTTGGAAATATTAGAGTCCGGAATATAAATATATATTTACACTGAGTGTAGAAAACATTAAGAACACCTGCTCTTTCCATAACATAGACTGACCAGGTGAATCCAGGTGAAAGCTATAATCCCTTATTGATGTCACTTGTTAACTCCACTTCAATAAGTATAGATGAAGGAGAGGAGACAGGTTAAAGAAGGATTTTTTCAACCTTGAGACAATTGAGACATGGATTCAGAGGGAGAATGGGAAAGACAATTGATTTAAGTGCCTTTGAACAGGGTATGGTAGTAGGTGCCTGGCGCACCGGTTTGTGTCAAAAACTGCTGAGTTTTTCACACTCAACAATTTCCTGTGTGTATAAAGAATGGTCCATCACCCAAAGGCCATCCAGCCAACTTGGCACAACTGTGGGGGGGGTTCCTAATATTTTTATGGTGTGTATAGACATTATGGACAGTATATGAACAGAAAAGGTGTGTACAGCAGTAGTTATATAGAATGAGCCTTGACTAGAATACTGTATATACATATGAAGTTGGTAAAACAGCAACGTAAACATTCTTAAAGTGACCAGTGTTCAATGACTATGTACATAGTGCAGCTGTCTCTAAGGTGCAGGGTTGAGTACCGGGTGGTAGCCGGCTGGTAACAGTACTAAAGTTCAGGGCAGGGTACTTGGCAGAGGCCGGCTAGTGGTAAAAATGTATATTATTAGGACTTGCCAATGACTAGGGGCCCTCCCCAGGACGACGACATCAGCAATAACAACTGAACAAGTTACAGTTACCTTTTTAGAATTCTCAATCACATCTTCTATGTCCTGAAAGATAATACAATAAATTGATTCAAGCATTAGACAAAACACACAGACTGTCATATCTAACACAGAACCAACAATTGGTAAAACTTTAATAAAATATCCGTTATGTAAAAGTCCTACCTTGTCAAAATCTCCTGCAGAGATGTGACAGTGGCAGTCAATAAAGCCCTTCATGGATAACTTATTTAATTTAAAATTGAAGCAATTGGGACTAAATAGGCTATCATTTTCATAGAAACATCCTCTGCAAAAGCTCTCCGCAAAACGTCATGTAAACGAAATATTGTGGATTCCATTTCCTGGTTCGTCACTGTTTTCATTGTCCAATCAGCGTCCAATGGGCAGCGTAAAGGTGTTCCTGTTTTTGTCATGTGATTAATGTGCGGGAAGCATCATGTGATATCAGCAAGCTATTTTAGTACAAAACTCAACTAATTGAACGCTGCATTCGTCTACATGACTTCGTAGGAGCCATGGCTTCCTTAAAGTTAGCCCTAATTTCTGTCGCACTGCTCCTGATGATTACCGTATGCAGTTGTAAATACGAGCCTACCTGGGAATCCATCGACTCCCGACCTTTGCCAGAGTGGTATGACCAGGCCAAGTTCGGAATATTCATTCACTGGGGAGTGTTTTCTGTTCCAAGCTTTGGCAGCGAGTGGTTCTGGTAAGCTGGTTAGCCAATACTTTTGTGCAATACAGAAAGTAATTAGTTGTTTCTTCATCATAAGGCCTACTTTAAATGCACAATCTACATTTCCTGTTGTGGTCAATTCAATAAATGATATAAATTATTGAAGAATTTAAATGCTTTGATGCAACTGTACCTCACTCCCCAAGCCCATTTGTTTAGTTATTATAATTTTTTAAAGAATTTGTGTGGATGTTTATTCCAGGTGGTATTGGCAGAAGCAGAAGCAAAAGCCCTATGTTGACTTCATGCAGAAGAACTATCCTCCAGACTTCAAGTATCAAGACTTTGCCCCACAGTTTACAGCTGAGTTCTTTGATGCCAAAGAATGGACTGACATATTTGCCTCATCTGGGGCAAAATATATTGTCCTCACCACGAAACACCATGAAGGTAGGCTCTTTGTGTGTGTGTGTGTGTGTGTGTGTGTGTGTGTGTGTGTGTGTGTGTGTGTGTAATGCATTCTCTACTGAAGCCATTTTAATAAAAATAATCATTCTTATGATTCCACGTGATTAGGCCTATAAAATTGTATTTGTGGTTTATTGTTATTGTCCTATCTGCAGGCTTCACTCTATGGGGTTCTAAGAACTCCTGGAACTGGAACGCAGTGGATGTAGGTCCTAAACGTGACCTAGTCGGAGAAGTGGCTGGAGCACTCCGAGCCCACAGCGACCTGCATCTGGGACTGTACCACTCTCTGTTTGAGTGGTTTAACCCGCTTTTCGAGCAGGACGCTGCCAACCTGTTCACTACCAACCTCTTCCCCACCACTAAGACGCTGCCCGAGCTCTATGAGATCATCAACAAGTACAAGCCGGAGCTGCTGTGGTCCGATGGAGACGGGGATGCTCCTGATAAATACTGGAACAGCACCGGATTCCTGGCTTGGCTGTACAACGAGAGGTACAGTCATAGAGATAATAGGCTGAATCTACCGCACTCCCAAAAACTATTAGTGAAGGTGCTGGAGGCAAAATGCAAAACTGGAGAAAGCAGAAAAAGTCTGCACACTTCCAGTCAGATGCACATTTATTTTAATAGTAGCTGAACTTTCAGTCAGTCGACCTCCGTCAGAGCATATCCACAAACAAAAGTGGGAACAGTCATAGAGATAAAATATGATGTAATATGTTTAGGGAAATAATATACAATAAGTGTTCTAAATCCACTTGCCTTTACAATGAGAGGTAGGGACATTATGGGCTAGGACACAGATTAAGTCTGGTCCTGGACTAGAACGCACTTTTAATGGAGATTCTCCATTCAACATGCTTTTTAGTCTAGGACTAGGCTTAATCAGTGTCCAGGGAAACTGGCCCTAAATGTATAAAAATATACACCGATGACTTTTTGCAGTTATAGGTCTATTTAAAGTGTCAGTTAGTGCTATGGAGTATGCTGTATGCACCAACAGTATGAACATCACATGCTTCATGATATGTTTTAATTTAATGTGTCGTCTTCCCTCCCCCCAAAGCCCAGTTCGAGAGACCGTGGTGACCAATGATCGTTGGGGCTATGGCAGTATCTGTACCCATGGAGGCTACTATACCTGCGCTGATCGCTACCAGCCTGGACACCTGCTCAAACACAAATGGGAGAACTGCTTTTCAATAGACAAAGCTTCCTGGGGTTACAGGAGAAACGCCCAGCTTAAAGACTACTCCACTATCGAGCAGCTTGTTGCGGTTAGTTTTAAATGGTTCGGATAGCACTTTAGTTTTTACGGTAAACAGGAGATTCAGAACCTTAAGATCACTTACTACCCCACAAAACTTCTTCCACTACCATAACAAACTTTTTGTAGCTGAATCAGTCATAATCCTGTTTGTATATGATATAGTATAACTCATAAACAGCATAATTTAACTGTAAAGTGCACTCAAAGACTAAAGTCTTTTGACTTGTTTTTGAAATCGCTGCTGGTCCCGTGTGTTTCTTGTGTAACACTTTACAACTGTGTTTTTTGGGTAACCTAAATGCTCTACTCTACAGCATGACTTGCTTGGCTTCATTCTTCTCTCCTAGATCGAAAATTGTACACTACAGTAGAATATGTGCGAAGCTAGTAGGAATCTATTTTGTTATAGGGGAGACTGAAATGTGGTTACTTTTCCAGCCCCACACAACTAAACTACCCAACAAAATGTTGCTGGGAACAGTGCAGGGTCGGCTGTATTCCTGCCTATGGAAGATGTTATAATATTTCATGTAGCTGTCATAAAGGCTTTATGAGTGCATACTTGTGTCCTGCGTGATTCAGACGTTGGTGGAGACCGTGTCCTGTGGAGGGAACCTGCTGCTGAACATTGGACCTACGCACGACGGACGCATCGCCCCCATCTTTGAGGAGCGTCTGAGGCAGATGGGTCAATGGCTGGTGGTCAATGGAGAGGCCATCTACAACACCACCGCATGGAGGGCCCAGAACGACAGCATCATACCTGGCATTTGGTCAGTTCATAATGATAATATTAATAATAACTAGAAATTGTACTTTTTTCATGAAGAAAAATTGACTTTCTTCAGAAGTAGTTTTGTGTTAGTGGAAAAAGTTTAAATTGTTGGAGGCTAGTTTAAAAACAATAATGAGGGTAGCGTAGTAGTTATTTGTATTTTAAATAGTAGTGGGAGAGTAGCATTTAGTGACTGTAGCCCAGAAGTAGTAGAAGTTGGAGTATTGACTGTGGTAGAAGTAGGCCTAATATGACATTTCAATTTTATTTTACCAGGCTAGTCTCATTGAGATTGAAAATCTATTTTGCAAGAGAGACCTTGCCAAAAAAGCAACATTTACAACATAAAACACAAAGCACTACAGTTTAATAACATCAGTTTACATATTGAACACTTTGGCACATGGTTTTGGGAAGAATGGTTCAGTTAGGGGTCAAAACATTGACAGCCCCCTAAATCATTTTCCACCACAGATTTTACCCTAGCTTTAAAATCATTTAAGGAGACGAACTCCTGTAGTTTCAAGTCCTTTTGTAGCGCGTTTCAAGTAGAGGGGGAGCAGAGTACTGGAACGCTTTTTTACCTAGCTCTGTACAGGCCTTAGGAACCGTCAAAGAGATACAGTCCTGTGAGCGTAGGCGATAATTGTCAAACTTACCAATGACTTAGTCTCCAAAGAGCTAAGGAAGGCCAGCCCACTCCCGAATAGAGGGTACAGTGATGGGTGAGCGCTTTGGAGTTTGTAACAAACCTCAGCGCCCCATGGTACACAGTGTCCAGCATACGTAATGACTCCACTGGGGCAAAAATGTACAAGGTATCACCATAGTCGGTAGAAAAAACAAGTCTCCTTCTCGCTTCAAAAGAAAAACATTACTTATTTCAAAAATAAAAACCCAACTTGAGCTAGATCTTTTTCACAAGACCTACAGGATAGTATGTGGGGTTTAAAAGTAAGACACTCATGTAACAAGAAACCCAGGTACTTGTAAGTTGATACCCTTTCTATTTGCTTGCCCTGCATAGTGACTATACATGGAAGAGTCTTGAGGTTTCATCAGAAATTTCCTGAAAACCATCAACTTTGTCTTATCAGCATTTAAAAGCAACTTCAGCTGACAGAGCTGAGCCTGGACAATAGTAAAGGCACATTGCAAAATGCCTTATAAATGTAAAGTTTGGGTTAGGTCGAGGCAAGATAAAATGGTCAATTTGACTCACGAACACCAGACTACAAACACTACCACAGACAAAGCCTGACATTCTGCCATCTTGGATTCTCAGTCTATGTAGATTGAGTGTAATACTAGTGCCAGTTACTGTTGGCGGGTTCTACAATCCTGACGAGTTTCATCAAATTTGACAAATCGGAAATGGCCGTTATAGCCCTAAATGGAGTGGCCATATGACCACAATTACTATTCCTTCACAAACTGTCAGACAGTACAGAGACTGTGTCCGAAATCTGTACTACTTACTAAAATTACATACTGTGTACTAATCGTAATGCGTACTGTTTAGTAAAAATGTGAGCCAGCATGGTTTGTGGAGTTTGTGATGAGGATGCTTAAAGCCACACTCCTTAATTTGTCAATACCCTCAGACTGGGCCACCAACAAAAATGTAAAAAATGGAGCAAATGCATCCTATTACATTTTTGCATGCAAATAGCACTTGATTTACGTGCTACATCTGTAGTTCTTAAGTAATGACTCCTTGGCAAAAAGAGAGTTAATCAGAGCAGCCAGCACGCAGGCTCTTTCAACGTGATGGAAAATTCAACATTCAGACTGGTGTGCCCACACCCACACCTGATGCTTACTTCCAACAGAGGCACTGTGTGCAGATAAATGAAAGTTTAACCCTTTCCACATTTCATGGATTTTTTTCTGTTTCATGTGCTGAGAGATATGAGGAAGCAAAGGTTTAATAAAAAGAGGAATAGATTACTAAAATATATAATAACACAGCTGTATCTCCTGATTGGTAGAATATATTTATATTATGATTGCTGATTTGTAAAGCAGAAAAGTATACTAATATTTCATACTGTTGGGAAAGTGGTCACATTTTCAGTTGTGTTTAAGAGTTGAGAGAAAAAGTAGTTCACACCTTTACTAAAACAGCTGTATTGTTTGATTGGTAGAATATATTTCTGTTCTAATTTTAAGATTTGAATAGCAGAGAAGCATACCAAGTTTTCCCTTACATTTGAAGTTTTTTTTCTCTAACTTGTTGGGAAAGTGGTCAAAATAGCTGATTTGTGTCAAGTCTGTGTTTACAGTGAATAGAATGTTGGAAGTTACATCTTAACAATGGGAGTTTTTAACAATGGGAGCTTTAGAATGTAAAGAAATCCCATTTATTCCCCCCCAATTTTTTGGGACAAAACACTCACTAGTGGAAAAAGTATAAATGTTATCAAAAAGTTGTAAACAAGCAACCTGGTCCCGACCAGTCTGCCTGTTTTATTTTTAAGTTTGAATGGCATTTCAAGTCAGTAATAAATACAATATTTAAAGTGTGACTGCTAATAATAATAATAATAATAATAATAATGTATTATTAACACCACAGCATGGGCCCAGAATGACAGCATCACCCCTGGCGTCTGGTCAGTTCTTAGCTAGTCATTTAGTTCCCAGATTCGTGTGGAAGAAAGGATAGCCCTATATGTTATATGGTCACAGTATGCCTACCAGACACTCTCTCATGACAGGCTTTCAATATAAGCCCACAAAAGTGACCATATCTTCCAAAGCTTGTTAGTACTCTAGTATAAATCAAAGTTAACATTTCTTATAAAAAAAGGCACAGCTTTTCACTAATAAATGGCTCATTATTGCTTTTGACTGCGTTTCAATAGGTACACTGCTAAACCACAGGACAAGGCCATCTATGCAGTTCTCCTGGACTGGCCTCAGAGTGGATCTGTCGTTCTGAATGAACCTGTTGTTTCTACAGGAAAGACTCAGGTAAGATACAGGATCACACGGCTACTTTTTGTGTTCTTTGTTTCATACCTTTTCACATGTACAATGTGTAATTAGATTGAAAATATTGTATTATGATTTGTGAAAATAAAATGTATGATATACTGACTGTCTATTTAAACATATACAACCAGGTAGTGTTGGTTGACAGTTGATGAAAGGGAACAATGCACCAGGTTTTTTTACATCTGGAAAACAGGACAGACTGGTAGAACAAACAAGCTACCAAAGCTGCATTTCCACTCTGATTGCCTGTTGTTATTTGAACAGGTGGTGCTGCTTGGTCACAAGCCACTGGACTGGGAGCCGGTGAAGCCTCGTGGTCTGAGGGTGTTTCTGCCTCAACTGTCTTATAGTCAGATGCCATGTCACTGGGCCTGGACCCTACGCCTGACGGGTGCCGCATAGGAAAGAAGGCAGGGTCGTGTTCATTACTTTACAGTTTTAAAAGGTTTTGCAACAGAAAACAAAAACAAGAGGTTCTTATTGAACAAGTTCAGATATTAGGCGATATCCCTGTTTGAGTCCTTTTTCTTCTGTTCCGTGCCTATTGAATATGACCCAGTTTTAAGCAGAGGGGTGCAGTGCTAGGCCGCTGCAGACCTGGCGGGAGGGTCTCAATGTTAGGCTAGCTGGTTTTTCTTGCTTCTCAACTATGGGCGCATTTGTTTTGCATTTCCTGGTGCCCTTGGTTCCAATGGTCCTAAAGTGAAACCTCCACCCACCTGGGGCACTGGGCAATTCAAATGAGCACACCCAGTTTTATAGAATTGTGAGGAAGTGAAAGAGCTTGTAGCGCATGTGCCACTCCTTTACAGAGGGGCCATTATTGTGAACTTTGCTTAGACCATGGTTTAAACCATTGGTCTAAAATGGTTAGCTGCTAGCTTTTCTCATAGGCCAACCTAGCCTATGAGAAAAGCTAGCAGTTGGCCATTTTAGACCAATTGTTTAAACCATGGTCTAAGCAAAAGTTCACAATAATGGCCCCAGAGTTTTTTTTAAAGTGTGTGGGGAGGACCTTTCTTTGTGTAGAACTGATGGTAATTCTGAAACTCAAGAGGCCAGTATAGAACCTGAATGTAAACAAAATAGTCATCTGTTTTTATTTTAAGTTAAGATGGGTAATGAAATGGATTTTTAATTAATTGAATAATTATTGACAGGTGTTTTGTTTGCTTTTCATATAATTACTTTTGCACTTTTTTAAATAAGGGGTTGATACTGTACTGTAATTGAAAATGTGAATTTCAAAGGATTTTATCAGATTACTTTTTGATTTTCTGTTATTGCATTGTGACTGACCTTCACAGCAACTTTTTAAAGGAATCACAATCCATATGTAATTTTTATTAGGAATTGAATGCATTTGATACGTTTTAATTTTGTTGTATGGCTTTACAAATTACAGAAATAAAGTACATTTTAATTTAATTATCCTTTTAACTGTTATCAACTATTTTGGACAACAGAATTGTATCCATAAATGCCACAGGTTTTTGTAAAACTGCAATGATGCATAGCATAGCCTCTTCCAGTTTCGGGAGAGAACGGAGATTATCATCTGTCAAATGCTTGGCCGATCAGCGGTACCCGAGCCCCCCCTACTGGCTACGGTCAGCCATATCAAGCAACATGCGGTACAATTTCTAATGAACCGACGCATGTGACAAATTGACAGACCAGCGCGTGCAGCTATAGAGAAGGGAGGCAAATATTCACTGCATCGCTCTCCGACTTTTAAAACCAACCTTGAATAGGATACGATTAAATTATAACTAGTCTAGAACGAGTCAAGCACACATGATTCCAACACAGCTCCTGTATTCCGATATGAGTATGCGGTCTTTTTTTGTTGGCGTCTGCATGCTCAGTCGTTGTAGCCTACTTTAATTTAATTTCCAAAAGTAAAAAGGACGATTCTTTTTATTCGAAGCCTTCAATTGCCAATTGCGAAAGTTATCTATCTGTCCAGTCTTTGCGAGCATTGCAACGTGTCTCAATGTTGTCAATCTACCCCTATCTGTAATGCACGCGCTTGTGCCTTGTGACGTAAAAAATAGGGGTTTCGCAAGGGGTTCTCATGTTCCATCCGTCTTTTTTTCATCACAACCTTATTCTAAAATGGAATAAATAATTGTTCCTCATCAATCTACACACAATACCCCACAATGACAAAGTGAAAACAGGTTAATAAATTTTTGGCAAATTTACAAAAAACAGAAATACCTTATTAAGTATTCAGACCCTTTGCTATGAGACTCGGAATTGAGCTCAGGTGCATCCTGTGGTAAATTAAAATGATTGGACATGATTTGGAAAGTAGTAGTACTTATATCATTATTGGCTCACTACTAGAGGGTGTTGTACAGCATGCGTGTGTGTGTTTGGTTTTACTATCCTTGTGGGGACCAGAAGTCCTCACAAGGATCATAAAACAAGGAAAATTGGGACAGTTCACCGGTCCCCACAAGGAAAAAGGCTATTTTAGGCTTAGGGGTTAGGTTTAGGGTTTGGGTTACAATTAGGTTTAGGCGTTAGGGTTAGGTTAGGGTTTAGGGAACATACGATTTTTAATAGGAATAAATTGTTTGGTCCCCACAAGGATAGTAAAACAAATGTGTGTGTGTGTGTGTGCACAGAGCACAGATAGTGGGAATGCCAAGCAGTGTGTGTGTGGAAGGTCTAGGGGACAGACCATGGCTGCATCCCAAATGGTACCATATTCCCTATATGGGCCCTGGTCAAAAGTAGTGCACAATATAGGGAGTAGGGTGTCATTTGGGACAGAGCATTATATTTATAGACTGGCAACTTGACCTTCACTGCACAGTATCAGCCATTTTAGTGTCGCTCCTCCAGATACTGAATACAGACAGGTAGCATAATGGATTTTAGCTGCAATGCAGTGCACTCATGTTTAACTTCAAGCCTAAATTATTATCCCTATCTGTACTAGTACTACACTTAGTAAAGAAGTCCCAAATATATTGGCACTTTTTCTTCTTGATATGTTGCATTTTGATTAATTTCATTTAGGGTAAATGTAGGTGGTTTTGTGGCTATGTTTTAAAAGAGGAATTTAATGCAAACATTGCAGGTCCTATTATCTGGACAGAACTGTAAAGTTTATATATAAAGATAAGTGCATTTATATTATTCTCATATAACTGTTACATCAGTTGAGTAAGCAACCCTTCGTTATGCTGTGTAGGTTTTATGTTACCAATAAGCATCTCCTAAAATGTTTTTAACTACAGTACTTAACTGGTGCAAACCCTACCAAAGACTCCTATTCATAGCAATTTCCAGTTGTTCTCACCCAATAGCACCTACTGAAACTGAAGAGGGGGGTCACGGCAGGTATGGTATTCACAGTTGTGTTAATTGTATTGTATGAAAAGGGCAAAGATTCACACAAATGACAGATGCACATATTGTATCCATACAATTATGTTACACGTAATGATTTTGAGGAACACTACTGACGATTTGTGCACTGTAGTTCAAAAACACTATATATACAAAAGTATGTGGACACCCCTTCAAATTAGTGGATTCGGCTATGTCAGCCACACCCATTGCTGACAAGTGTATAAAATCGAACACACAACCATGCAATCTCCATAGACAAACATTGGCAGATTTATGGCCTTACTTAAGAGCTCAGTGACTTTCAACGTGGCACCACCTTTCCAACAAGTCAGTTCATCAAATTTCTGCCCTGCAAAAGCTGCCTCGGTCAACTGTAAGTGCTGTTATTGTGAAGTGGAAATGTCTAGGCGCAACAACGGCTCAGCCGCAAAGTGGTAGGCCACACAAGCGCACAGAACGGGACCGCCGAGTGGTAAATCGCGTAGCATGTAAAATCATCTGTCCTCAGTTGCAACACTCACTACCGAGTTACAAACTGCCTCTGGAAGTAACATCAGCACAAGAACTGTTCTTCGGGAGCTTCAAGAAATGGGTTTCCATGGCCGAGCAGTTGCACACAAGCCTAAGCTCACCATGCGCAATGCCAAGCTTCAGCTGGACTGGTGTAAATAATGTTCTGGGGCTATTTTTCATGGTTCGGGCTAGGCCTCTTAATTCCAGTGAAGTGAAATCTTAATGCTGCAGCATACAATGACATTCTAGACAATTCTGTGCTTCCAACTTCGTGGCAACAGTTTGGGGAAGTCCCTTTCCTGTTTCAGCATGACAATGCCCCCGTGCACAAAGCGAGGTCCATACAGAAATGGTTTGTCGAGATCGGTGTGGAAGAACTTGACTGGCCTACACAGAGCCCTGACCTCAACCCCATCGAACACCTTTGGGATGAATTGGAATGCCGACTGCGAGCCAGGCCTAATCGCCCAACATCAGTGCCCAACCTCACGAATGCTCTTGTGGCTGAATGGAAGCAAGTCCCCACAGCAATGTTCCAACATCTAGTGGAAAGCCTTCCCGGAAGAGTGGAGGCTGTTATAGCAGCAAAGGGGGGACCAACTCCATGTTAATGCCCATGATTTTGGAATGAGATGTTCGATGAGCAGGTGTCCACATACTTTTGGTAATGTAGTGTAGATCAAATTCAGTTTAAATTAGAAGATATCACTTTTTTTTAAAGATGAAAGAAATAATCTTAATTATGTTCCTAAACAATTCATGCTTAATAATTACTGATTTCAGTGACAGCAGATTGTTGATTGGGATCTTCTTGGTGGTATAGACGTGACTGTTGTAGTATAAAGGCTGCACAGTATACAGCCAGCTCAGACTGAACAGAGCATGGATAAGGGAACAGAACGGAACAGAGCTGTATTGTCCATCCAAGGATGGAAAAGTTCCTTTGGCATCACCTTACAAGCTGCATGCTGCACGTCTATATAATAAGACAGTTTGCTCTCCTGAGGTTTGTGTCCTAATTTTAGCCAACAGATTATGCTTTGGGACATTTTCACTGTTGTTGGTCCACTTCTGAATTCAAACAGTTTAACCACCAGGTCAGGAAGATAGAGAGAGCATGGCGTAGGAGCTAACCAGACCGTGGAAGAGTTGTGTTAGGCTATAGTGATTAAATCTCATTCAAATTGCACCCCCCTCTTAATATTGTAGAAGTGCATACTGGTTTGATGAGGATGCATGTCTTTGTAGTTGTCAATGATCACAGTGAATATTTGCCCATCACCCAGAGGTGAAGTAAGTGTCTGCTGTGTTTTGGCCCACTGAGGAGGGTAAAATCCCTAACTACACTGCACTATGAACCCTGATTTTACTTGGGTCTAGCTTCCCAGGTTATCAGACTAGTGTAATCAGGGATCCCAGACCCTGGGAAAATCCCTTTTGGTGTATTAAGGACCCACACTGAGAAAGTGTAGCTGAATATTCTATTCTATTCCCTCCTGGACCCACTGAGAACGTTTAAGTGTCTGCTGTGTTTTGAGAATGTTGCTGCCTGTTGTTCAAGACGCTGGTAAAAGCAGAGTTTTGGTATATGAAGGGTTTAAACATTGCTTTACCCCTACACTGAGAAAGTGTATCTGTCTGCTGTGTTTTGGACCCACACTAAAAAAGTGTAAATGCTGTGTTTGAGAAAGTGTCTTTAACGTGGGCTGTTGTATAATCCCTCACAGGGCCCCTTTGCTATTTTTGTGGTTGGGTCTGTCCGCGTCATGCTTGGGTATTTTCTCTGGTGACTAGCTCACATCAATATATCTTATAATGTGTACTCAGTCAGCCAGCAGCAGCGGCAGAAAATGTAAGATTGATGAGATTTGACCCATCGCTAAATCTGATCATAATTGTTTATTGTTGTTATTACTATAACCAAGGGATGGAGAATGGACAGCTGGAATTTGCAATATGAGGTATGTCACATGTGACTGGCGATATGGGACAAGAAGGGAGTATACAAATGTCAGGTTTGTATGAGGATTATATTCGATATCTGCATGTCTACCTGTCTTGCTTAAGGATATACTATTTTCTTACCACATACCTTGTGGTTTAACTGCATGTGTTCTGAGTAGAAAACCGTCTCTCACCTTGCATTGGTGTTCATTCTGTATGTTGTGTTCTGTGTGGGCTGTCATGCCATGGGCTTTCTGACTCAGTGTCCCTGGCACTATGTATTTTCCTTATAAGAGGTATAGATGAGGGGCTAGTGTTGGACTACATGACTGTCATATCCCTGTTGGATAAGAGCGTCTGCTAAATGACTAAAATGTAAATGTAAATATGTTCTGTATAGCTTGAACATGATATGATGCAGTGGCATTATAAAGACGTTTTCCATAACCTACATACAGTATGCTTCCCATTGTCTCCATGCAACATGCTGCAGCAGTGTGGTTGTTGCTGTACCATGTCTTATCAGCATGTACAGTCAGGTCCATCATTATTGGCACCATTTATAAATATTAGCAAAAAATACTGTGTAAAACAGATAATACAAATACTGAGCTATGCTATATGCTAAAAAAATGGGAAAATTGTATTATTTCATACTGATACAATTGCTCAGAGAAAGAGATTTTGTTTAATTACTAATTTAAAAAAAAGATACTCTAGCATCCCCCACTTGCAAGGATAACCACACTGAGCCTTTTCTAAAATGTTTTATGAGATTGGGAGAACACCTTGGGAGGGATCTTAGACCATTTCTCCAAACAGAACCTTTCCAGATCCTTAATATCCTTCGTCTGCATGGACTGCCCAATTCCATTCAAACCACAGGTTTTCAATGGGGTTCAAGTCCAGAGACTGAGATTGGTATTGCAAAAGGCTGATTTTGTGGTCAATCAACAATTTCTTTGTGGATTTTGATTAGTGCTTGGGGTTATTGTCTTGCTGGATCCACTTGTGGCCAAGTGTCAACCTCCTGGTAGAGGCAACCAGGTTTTTTGCTAAAATGTCCTGGTACTTGTTAAAGTTCATGATGCCGTTGACCTTAACAAGGGCCCCAAGACCAGTTGAAGCAAAATAGCCCCATAACAGCAAAGATCCACCACCATATTTTACCGTAGGTATGAAGTACTTTTCTGCATTTGCTTCTGTTTTTCAACATCAAACCCACCACTGGTGTGTGTGTGTGGCCAAAGAGATGTATCTTCATGTCATCTAACCATAGCACCGGTTCCAATCCAAGTGCCAATGCTATTTACCAGGCGGTGCTATGTTCAGATTAAATGAAAATAGAGCTCTTTGGCTATGCACACCAGTGCTACAGTAGCACTGACTCACCATCTTTCTGTGAACAGTTTTGATATACCATGAATGAGATATATTACTGTAATGTGCGACACGACCGTTAGCTTTACCTACATGAGGAATATATAGACTTAAAAGAGGTTGGGAAGTGTACATACTAAAGTGTCTGTTCCCTTTCCTCTCTCTCTCTCTGGGGTGTAGTTTCAGAGGGGAGGTATGAATTGTTTCAGTGAGGCAGGCTTATCTCCCTGACACCCGGCACTTGTAGTTCCTCCTCTTATTGCTTTAGTTGGGAAGGATGGAAAAATACACAGCTATGAGGTCAGAACGACCTTGAGGATAGATAGATCCCCTGTACCCTCCCTCTCAAGGCTTACAATGTTGTCACCTCTGCCCTGAGTGACATGCCACTTTGGTTACCTCTGGAAACCTTCTCTCGTAGAATGTTCCAAAAAGCCACCTTTTACAGTACACAGTATATACTGGATTCTCCTCTTTGGTCTGTCTGTCTAAGCGAGGAATGCAAAACTCTATCTGATAACTGTAGTCTTTAGCCCTATGTCAAGTGGGTGGATAAAGCACTTCCCATTCGAATATTAATTGGACATTCTTGCAGTATATGCGCAGCCTCTTTGATTTAATGCATGTGTTATCTCTGCATCTTGAGTCACCTTGGATTTGTATCATCTCTCCGGTCTGAGCCTGGAGAGAGTACAATAGGATGTAATGGAGAGAGAAAATAATAGAATGGTTGTAACGAATAGAGAAAGAGAGAAAGAGTGCAGTAGGAAGTAACAAAAAGAGAGAGCGTTGCTCATAGAATGTCCTAATTAAGTGTAGCTCAGTGGGTTTGAACCAGATAATCTTACATAACCTTGTTAAAGAGCACACAGCCTTTGATACTGAGAAGATGAGAATGATGTTCCCTCTGAGACCCAGCATACCATGGAGCCCCATGGTATAGAGCTGAGGTATAGGACAAGATTACATACCCGACCCCATTGTATATTGCTGAGGTATAGGACAAGATTACATCCCATCCTATGGGCCCTGGCCAAAAGTAGTGCACTATATAAGGGATAGGATGACATTTGGGATGCAGGCGTAGTGTAATAGCTCATAGACCCAGGTAGCCCCATGGTATGGAGCTGAGATATAGGACAGGATAATCTACAGACGCACATCCAGTATCTTTGATGAGTTTAGAGTCCAAGTGCACACACATACAGTATGCACACACACACACACACATTGTGATTGTAGTGCACCGGCCAGCAGTAATATGAGGTAACAGTATTTGAGAGTGTCTAGTAAAGAGCCTGATTCTTCTTTCCTGGTGTGAACACTGGTCATTATGTACCAAGTTTATTTGAGGAAGTAACTATTTTGGAAAATGAATTTGTGAGGTTATGATACTGTCTGGAAAGAAATCATTTGACAAATGTTTATATGACCTGTTTTTTGTTTCTTGTTGGGAGGAAGGGGTTTGCAAATAAAGTACAGTATTTTTGTAAGTAAGCTATTTTTGCATCTACTGATTAATCTTGTATTCTGTCTTTGGTAGGGATAATGCATGGGTGTTCTTGATGTAATATTTTGAGGTATGTACTTTCACTAATAATAATTTCAGTTTTCTGATTTCTTTCAGATGACACTTTCTCTCCATATATTACTACATTTACATAACAGACATTATTGTCTGTTGGATATCAACCCTGACGAGGAAGGTGACATTGGAATCGTCATGGAGTCACTAGAAACTACTGCAGAGGTGAAATGCTCTAAAGATGGGTCTGGAAAAGACAGTTACACAGAGAAAGTGGGCAGCACCAGAGCCTATGACTGCCCAAACTAAAATAACCCCTACGGCTGATTCTGAGGGGGAGGGGAGGCACTTATGCCCACAACCTGAGGAGGACCAGAGTAGAACCACATGTGGTTCAACAGAAAGGTCTGACTCAGGGAAACTAAGACCATTAGAAGGGAAATCACTACGCCAATTACAGGATCAACCCTCCAGTCATCCTCATTACAATGTATTAACCTCGTATCCACCACAGGAGAGACAGACCGTTCCCTTTGCTAGACAGAAAACGGCAGATCACTTGGTTTCTGCGCTGCCACTATCCCATGGAAGCTGTGCAGGGCCCTCTCTTCAGAGGAGCTCCCCCAGTTTACCTACGTCTCTCCAACACTGTTCCCAGTCAGGGATAGAGGAGCTATCCAAGGACGTGTGTAGTAAGATGGAGCAGAAACAGCAGCAGAGGCCTGGGAAGTATGTTTGTGATTATTGTGGGAGGGCATGTGCCAAACCCAGCGTACTTAAAAAGCATATCCGCTCACATACTGGGGAGCGACCCTACCCCTGCGTTCCCTGCGGCTTCTCTTTCAAAACCAAGAGCAATTTATACAAACACAGAAAATCTCATGCTCACTCTGTCAAAGCTGGGACAGTGCCAATTTCAGAACTGGGTTCTTACAATGCCAACATGGAGGACCAGGGATCTTTAGAAGGAGAAGGAGAGTTATACTCTGATACTGAGCAGAGCTCTGACACGGATGAGGACGATTCATCGCTCTTGGACTCTGTATCAGTCGAGGAACCAGATAGCACCACTGCTGTAAAAGTACTGAATCTCATTGCCCAGAAACAGGGAGTTACATCAACATTATCTGAGGAGCGTTCATCCAGTCTCCCAGAGATCAATGGTGCTCAAGCTCCAGCTGTTTCTCAGGTCAGCCGTGCAATTCAATCTAGCGCCATCAAGCAGAGACTGGCACTCCGGCTCTCAGAGAAAAGGAGCAGTGACACTGACACATCTCTCTCCCTGCCTAGCCAGGGAAGCAAAAGCAGCACAGACTCAGGCTACTTCTCACGCTCTGAGAGCGCAGAACACCAAACCAGTGGTCCTCCCAACACAAATGCAAAGTCCTATCAAGAGATTATGTTTGGGAAGTGTTACAAACCGAACCCGAAACAGGCCATAACTGTTGTGACTTGCACTACAGACTTAATAAGTGATCGTAAGTCTTCGGAGCGAGGTGTTTCCCGTGTATTCACACAAGAAAAGGAATCAATGATTGAATCGATTAGAATAAACACACGTTCATTTACAAGGGAAGGAATTAAGGAGGCTCAACTAGAGCTCTCTGATTCTGGACAGCTGGTGCGGAGCAACTCGATGCCCACGTCCTCGGCTGCGTGTCTGGACATGCCACAAGGCCTGCGAGGCAGCCACTCCTTTGATGAGAGGGCGTCCCCTGGAGGTATTAGGAGACTTAGGAGACAGGCTGCCTTTGAACACTCTGCACATGATGGAAACACAGAACTTCCTGACCACTATGGAAACATCTCTGATATTTCCAACCTTGGAGTAGAGACGGAATGTGCGACGAGGAAACGACGGAAGGAAAAATGTGTTAGGGAGGAGGAAGATGTAGGAGGCCAGTATCACACAGACTATGGCCACTCTGAAGAGATGAGGGACAATGATTCAAAGCAAGCCTCTCAAGGTGCTCTAACCACTACTCCTTCAGTGAAAGGACATGCCCAAAGCGTGCATACACAGAATAGACTGGACATGGAAATGTGGGAAGACACCACAGAGAGGAGAACTTTAGGTAATGTCATCTCTGTGATTCAACACACAAACTCCCTAAGCAGGTCTCACTCTGACGAGTCTTACAACTACCAGAGACAGGAAAAGCCTTCCTCAATGAAAGTGGTGGAGCAAACCGAAACTTGTGAGATGCGTAAAAGGACTGAGATCTTTGCACACCAGTTGAGTGACAGTAGATTGTTAGATCAATCATATCAAATGACACCTAAGCTAGTCCGTCAGTCCAACATACAGGTCCCAGAGATCAGGGTGACTGTAGAACCTGACAGTCCAGAGAAAGAGAAAGCAGCTGAGGTAAAACAGGTGAAGGCGAAGGAGCCTGATAGACATGTAGAGGAGTTCCAATGGCCTCAAAGAAGTGAAACTCTGTCTCAATTCCCTCCAGAAAAACTCCCTCCAAAGAAGAAGAGACTGCGCTTAGCTGACTTGGAGCACTCCTCTGGTGAGTCTAGCTTTGGATCGACCTGTACGAGCCTCTCCCGAAGCCCCAGTCAGGACAGCAACCTATCCTACTGCTCCACCTTCTCGTTTGACCGAGAAGAGAGAGAGCGAGAGCTTATCCCCAAGCCAGCTTCCCCGGCTGCTAGACAGGATGAGTTTGGAAAAGCGTTGGAGTTCTTATCTGTGCCAGGAAGCGGCCACTCCCTCTCTGTCCTGAACCAGCGTCAACAACATGAAATGAGACGCTCCTCTTCAGAACAGGCAGCGTGCAACTCTCAGCGTAGAGAGCTCCCAGAGGTCCGCAGTGTATCGTTTGACTACGGCAGTCTCTCTCCAATGGCCAAAGTTAGACATGCGGAACTCGGCGCCAGTTACTCAGAACCCAGACGGAGTAACTTGGTAAGACAGGCGTCCTTGAATGTTGACCCTGAATTTACACATCCAGTCCTTCCGCTAAATATTCTTCCTCAGTACTTCAGAAATGCCCTGTCGTTCTCAGCCACTGCTCTGCTCTCTCAGTCTCTGCCAATATTTGCCCCTCAGCCACCACACTCCGGTCTCCTAGTTCCTGTTAGAATACAGACTCACGTGCCGTCTTACGGTAGCATTACGTACACCACTGTGTCACAGGTTGTATATGATCCATATGAAAACTCTCTCACTTCTCACTTTGCACATTTATCCACAAATTTAGATGCATCTAAAGCATTATTAGGACACCCCCGAGGACTGTTGACCAACCCAGCCCAGGTTCAAGTTCTAGATATGTCACCAGCTAAGCTCAAGACAGGCATCCCTCTCTCCCTGACCTCCAGGACTATCTCCACCACCAACTGTGGATCCAGTGGTGGATCCAACAAGCGCATGCTATCGCCAGCCAGCAGCTTGGACCTGTTAATGGAGGTAAAACAGCAGAAACGCGTCAAAGAAGAGAAAATGTACGGTGAGATAGTGGAGGAGTTGGGTGCTGTAGAGTTAGGGAATTGTAATGTGACCGAAGAGAGCAAGTACAGTTTAAAGACAGAGTTTAAAAGTGACACCAACCAGGGAGCATCACTGTCAGGCCTTCCTTCTATATCCTCTTTGTCTGTGCCATCCTCACTTCATTCTCAAGACGAGCCAGCAAGTGGAAGCTTCAGCTCACCTCAGCAACAAGGGTCAGAATGTCCTCATTCCCATATGGATAGCTCCCCAACCGAAACAAGCCTACATCCACCCTCTCTGCTTTCTCTAAATGATTTCAAAGAGTCTGGCATGGACAGCAAGGCACATATGGACATGCTGGTGCAGTTAGTCAAAGGTCAGGGCATCCTCATCTCTGACGGTGAAAACACCAAACTGATATCTCAGTTTCCAAGTCTTCGCACAACGACAGGTGTGAGTTGGTGCTATCTGAACTACACCAAGCCAAACAGCACTCACTACACCTCTCCTATGTCCTCTGTGTACACTATGTGGTGCGTCAGTTCCCATAACCCCAACCCTCCTAACCTCAACACCAGTGCAACCCTGGCTCTGCTCTGCTCCAAACAGAAGACTAACACATGGGTGTACACCATGGCTGCCATGTACCAACCTGGGACTGGGAAACTGGTCTCCTCCAAGCAGAGGTTTGAGCTGGTGAGAACCTTTATTGTTAATTAATTATTTTGTCCAAATCACCCTTGCATTTCTATATTGAATGTACACTACCGGTCAAAAGTTTTAGAACACCTACTCATTCAAGGGTTTTTCTTTATTTTTACTATTTTCTACATTGTAGAATAATAATGAAGACATCAAAACTATGAAATAACACATATGGAATCATGTAGTAACCAAAAAAGTGTTAAACAAATCCTAATATATTTGATATTTGATATTCTTCAAATAGCCACCCTTTGCCTTGATGACAGCTTTGCACACTCTTGGCATTCTCTCAACCAGCTTCATGAGGTAGTCACCTGGAATGCATTTAAATTAACAGGTGTGCCTTCTTAAAAGTTAATTTGTGGAATTTCTTAACTTCTTATTGCGTTTGAGCCAATCAGTTGTGTTGTGACAAGGTAGGGGGGGTATACAGAAGATAGCCCTGTTTGGTAAAAGACCAAGTCCATATTATGGCAAGAACATCTCAAATAATCAGAGAAACGACAGTCCATCAGGAGGTGTTATGGTGTGGGGGTGCTTTGCTGGTGACACTGTCTGTGATTTATTTAGAATTCAAGGCACACTTAACCAGCATGGCTACCACAGCATTCTGCAGCGATACGCCATCCCATCTGGTTTGGGCTTAGTGGGACTATCATTTGTTTTTCAACAGGACAATGACCCAACACACCTCCAGGCTGTGTAAGGGCTATTTGACCAAGAAGGAGAGTGATGGAGTGCTGCATCAGATGACCTGGCCTCCACAATCCCCCGACCGCAATCCAATTGAGATAGTTTGGAATGAGTCGGACCGCAGAGTGAAGGAAAAGATGCCAACAAGTGCTCAGAATATGTGGGAACTCTTTCAAGACTGTTGGAAAAGTATTCCAGGTGAAGCTCGTTGAGAGAATGCCAAGAGTGTGCAAAGCTGTCATCAAGGCAAAGGGTGGCTATTTGAAGAATCTGAAATATAAAATATATTTTGATTTGTTTAACACATTTTTGGTTACTACATGATTCCATATGTGTTATTTCATAGTTTTGATGTATTCACTATTATTCTACAATGTAGAAAATAGTAAAAATAAAGAAAAACCCTTGAATGAGTAGGTGTTCTTAAAGCTTTGACAGGTAGTGTATGTTTACAATCCTTGACTCAAGTTACATCATAAACATATCATCTAATATTGTAACAATATTACATTGTTAATATCCTGTATTACTGAACTGCATTACCTAAACATATCTAAACTGCATGTTAACAGAATGTTTATTCTTGGCCTCCGAGTGTCGCAGCGGTCTAAGGCACTGCATCACAGTGTTGCGGCGTCACTAGAGATCCTGGTTCGAATCCAGGCTCTGTCGTAGCCGGCCGCGACCGGGAGACCCATGGGGCGGCGCACAATTGGCCCAGCGTCGTCCAGGGTAGGGGAGGGAATGGCCGGCAGGGATGTAGCTCAGTTGGTAGAGCATGGCGTTTGCAACGCCAGGGTTGTGGGTTCGATTCCCACGGGGGGCCAGTATGAAAAAGAAAAAAGAAATGTATGCACTCACTAACTGTAAGTCGCTCTGGATAAGAGCGTCTGCTAAATGACTAAAATGTAAATGTACTACAGCCTGGGGTTCGATCCCAGGCTGTATCATTACCGGCCGTGACTGGGAGTCCCATAGTGCGGCGCACAATTGGCCCAGCGTCGTCTGGGTTAGGGGAGGGTTTTGCTGGGGGGGCTTTACTTGGCTCATCACGCTCTAGTGACTCCTTGTGGCAGGCCGGGCGCCTGAAGGCTCTTATGTTGAACGGTGTTTCCTCCAACACATTGGTGCGGCTGGCTTCCGGGTTAAGCGAGCGGATGTTAAGAAGCGCGGTTTGGTGGGTCATGTTTCGGAGGACGCATGACTCGACTTTCGCCTCTCCCGAGCCCATTGGGGAGTTGCAGCGAGGAGACAAGATCGTACTCACGAAATTGGGGAGAAAAAGGGGGTACAAATTACCAAAAAAAAATCATGTTTATTAATCTATCTAATTTAGCTACAGAGCAAACCGGAGCTCAAAGAGCTGGATGTGATCTCCTATGGAAGGAAAGTGAAGGATGCCAGCTGCAGGGTAAAAGCAGCGAAGGAGGACTGGAAAGACATGGAGGTCTCCTCGAAACAAACAGCAGTGCTAACACCAACCCAGATCAAAATCTTTGAAGGAGGGTCAGTTATGATACTATCACATTAAGCAATAGAATATTACTTATAATGTTAGTTCGTAATGTGTACATGTTTTATATAGGGGTAACGCCTGGTGGTACAAATTATTTATCCCGGTAGTCCTATTGTGGTCAGAAGACCTCTTTCCCAAGGGAGACCTGGAATTAGATTAAATATACAGGACCAGTCAAAAGTTTGGACATACAGTGAGGGAAAAAAGTATTTGATCCCCTGCTGATTTTGTACGTTTGCCCACTGACAAAGACATGATCAGTCTATAATTTTAATGGTAGGTTTATTTGAACAGAGAGAGACAGAATAACAACAAAAAAATCCAGAAAAACGCATTGGAATTTTTTAAATAAATTGATTTGCATTTTAATGAGGGAAATAAGTATTTGACCCCTCTGCAAAACATTACTTAGTACTTGGTGGCAAAACCCTTGTTGGCAATCACAGAGGTCAGACGTTTCATGTAGTTGGCCACCAGATTTGCACACATCTAAGGAGGGATTTTGTCCCACTCCTCTTTGCAGATCTTCTCCAAGTCATTAAGGTTTCGAGGCTGACGTTTGGCAACTCGAATCTTCAGCTCCCTCCACAGATTTTCTATGGGATTAAGGTCTGGAGACTGGCTAGGCCACTCCAGGACCTTAATGTGCTTCTTCTTGAGCCACTCCTTTGTTGCCTTGGCCGTGTGTTTTGGGTCATTGTCATGCTGGAATACCCATCCACGACCCATTTTCAATGCCCTGACTGAGGGAAGGAGGTTCTCACCCAAGATTTGACGGTACATGGCCCCGTCCATCGTCCCTTTGATGCGGTGAAGTTGTCCTGTCCCCCAGAAAAACACCCCCAAAGCATAATGTTTCCACCTCCATGTTTGACGTGAGGATGGTGTTCTTGGGGTCATAGGCAGCATTCCTCCTCCTCCAAACACGGCGAGTTGAGTTGATGCCAAAGACCTCGATTTTGGTCTCATCTGACCACAACACTTTCACCCAGTTCTCTTCTGAATCATTCAGATGTTCATTGGCAAACTTCAGACGGGCCTGTATATGTGCTTTCTTGAGCAGGGGGACCTTGCGGGCGCTGCAGGATTTCAGTCCTTCACGGCGTAGTGTGTTACCAATTGTTTTCTTGGTGACTATGGTCCCAGCTGCCTTGAGATCATTGACAAGATCCTCCCGTGTAGTTCTGGGCTGATTCCTCACCGTTCTCATGATCATTGCAACTCCACGAGGTGAGATCTTGCATGGAGCCCCAGGACGAGGGAGATTGACAGTCCTTTTGTGTTTCTTCCATTTGCGAATAATCGCACCAACTGTTGTCACCTTCTCACCAAGCTGCTTGGCGATGGTCTTGTAGCCCATTCCAGCCTTGTGTAGGTCTACAATCTTGTCCCTGACATCCTTTGAGAGCTCTTTGGTTTTGGCCATGGTGGAGAGTTTGGAATCTGATTGATTGATTGCTTCTGTGGACAGGTGTCTTTTATACAGGTACTCCCTTTAAGAGTGTGCTCCTAATCTCAGCTCGTTACCTCTATAAAAGACACCTGGGAGCCAGAAATCTTTCTGATTGAGAGGGGGTCAAATACCTATTTCCCTCATTAAAATGCAAATCAATTTATAACATTTTTGACATGCGTTTTTCTGGATTTTTTTGTTGTTATTCTGTCTCTCACTGTTCAAATAAACCTACCATTAAAATTATATACTGATAATTTCTTTGTCAGTGGGCAAACGAACAAAATCAGCAGAGGATCAAATACTTTTTTCCCTCACTGTACCTACTCATTCAATGGTTTTTCTTTATTTTTACAATTTTCTACATTGTAGAATAATAGTGAAGACATCAAAACTATGAAATAACACATATGGAATCATGTAGTAACCAAAAAAGTGTTAAACAAATCAAAATATATTTTATATTTGAGTTTTTTCAAAGTAGCCACCCTTTGCCTTGATGACAGCTTTGCACACTCTTGGCATTCTCTCAACCAGCTTCATGAGGAATGATTTTCCAACAGTCTTGAAGGAGTTCCCAGATATGCTGAGCACTTGTTGGCTGCTTTTCCTTCACTCTGCGGTCCATCTCATCCCAAACCATCTCAATTGGGTTGAGGTCGGGTGATTGTGGAGACCAGGTCATCTGATGCAGCACTCCATCACTCTCCTTCTTGGTCAAATAGCATTTGTGCCTTGTTAAAAGTTAATTTGTGGAATTTCACTCCTTCTTATTGCGTTTGAGCCTGTCAGTTGTGTTGTGATAACGTAGGGGTGGTATACAGAAGTTAGCCCTATTTGATAAAATACCAAGTCCATATTATGGCAAAAACAGGTCAAATTAGCAAAGAGAAACAACAGTCCATCATTACTTTAAGACATGAAGGTCAGTCAATCCGGAAAATTTCAAGAACTTTGAAAGTTTTTTCAAGTGCAGTCGCAAAACCCATGAAGTGCTATGATGAAACTGGCTCTCATGAGGACCGCCACTGGAATGGAAGTCCCAGAGTTACCTCTGCTGCAGAGGATTTGTTCATTAGAGTTACCAGCCTCAGATTGCAGCCCAAATAAATTATTCACAGAGTTCAAGTGACAGACACATCTCAACATCAACTGTTCAGAGGAGACTGTGTGAATCAGGCCTTCATGGTCGAATTGCTGCAAAGAAACCACTACTAAAAGACACCAATAAGAGGAAGAGACTTGCTTGGGCCAAGAAACACGAGCAATGGACATTAGACCGGTGGAAATCTGTCCTTTGGTCTGATGAGTCCAAATGTGAGAATTTTGGTTCCAACCGCCGTGTCATTGTGAGACGCAGAGTAGGTGAACGGATTATCTCCGCATGTGTGGTTCCCACCATGAAGCATGGAGGACGAGGTGTGATGGTGTGATTTATTTAGAATTCAAGGCACACTTAACCAGCATGGCTACCACAGCATTCTGCAGCGATATGCCATCCCATCTGGTTTGCGCTTAGTGGGACTATCATTTGTTTTTCAACAGGACAATGACCCAAAACACACATCCAGGCTGTGTAAGGGCTATTTGACCAAGAAGGAGAGTGATGGAGTGCTGCATCAGATGACCTGGTCTCCACAATCACCCGACCTCAACCCAATTGAGATGGTTTGGGATGAGTTGGATCGCAGAGTGAAGGAAAAGCAGCCAACAAGTGCTCAGCATATGTGGGAACTCCTTCAAGATTTGGAAAATCATTCCTCATGAAGCTGGTTGAGAGAATGCCAAGAGTGTGCAAAGCTGTCATCAAGGCAAAGGGTGGCTACTTTGAAGAATCTCAAATATTTTTTGGGTTACTACATGATTCCATATGTGTTATTTCATAGTTTTGATGTCTTCACTATTATTCTACAATGTAGAAAATAGTAAAAATAAAGAAAAACCCTTGAATGAGTAGGTGTGTCCAAACCTTTGACTGGTACTGTATTTTTTCACTTACCTTGCATGTCTAAAGCTACTTATAGAACATCACATTAAGGATTGTTTTCCTCCCTCAGGTTCAAGTCTAATGAGGACTATGTGTACGTGAGGGGCAGAGGCCGAGGAAAGTATATTTGTGAGGAGTGTGGCATCCGCTGTAAGAAACCTAGTATGCTAAAGAAACATATACGCACCCACACTGACGTCAGACCCTACGTTTGCAGGGTCTGCAACTTCGCTTTCAAAACAAAAGGTGGGTATCCCTTATTTTTATTCCATTGAAATGAATGAAACAAGAGGTATAACTGCTGATTTAAAAAGGGATTTATACATTTGATTGATTGATGACAACAGGAACATTTATTTCCAAAAAGGTACAATTGAATGGTAATGAATATAATAAGCTCAACAAGATGAATCTTTAAATGTTTGTTGTCCTACAGGAAACCTGACCAAGCATATGAAGTCAAAGGCTCACATGAAGAAGTGTCTTGAGCTTGGGGTGTCAGTCATAGTGGATGATACAGAGACACATGAATCTGGTAAAATATTGACCAATGACCAGGATACTATACTTTACTCCCTAATATGAATTATTCAGATATTTAACACTGATTGTGTCATCCATGGTAACTGTTTGAAATAGCAATTGATGTTCCACAGAATTAATGACAGAAAGGAATTTGATATATCCTTTGTCTTTCTTTTTTCTGTTCTTTCAAACAATACAGATGACGTCCAACAACACTCGAAGACCGGGGTCTTGAGCTCAGCCAAACACCAGTTCTCAGACGCAGACGACTCCGATGGCATGGATGAAGAGATAGATGACATCGACGAAGATGACGATGATGACTACGACGGTGGCTCCACTCCAAAGATCCGCTCCCGGAGCACCAGCCCTCAGCCCTGTGGCATAGCCTCTCTGTCGGTCACCCAGAGTGTGTCGTCAGCTCTCCATGGCTGTACCCTCAGTACCTTCCGTTCTCTCCCCAGCTGCCTCACCAACTCCATCGTGCCTGGCATCGATGTCCATCCCCATCCCTCCATCTCAGGCAGGAGGACAGGGCCAGACCGGAGGACTGTCTTGGCCTCCAGCCTGGACAAGGAGCAGAGTGAGAGAGAGAGGCTTGTGGATGAGGACTGTAGCCTGGTCATGCTGTCTCCTGACCAGGGTTGTCTGTTCTTCGACCACACCTGTCTGCTGTCCCCTGGCTGGGAGTCCCCTCTGAGGGAACCGTCCCCCTCCCGGCTCTGCTACCCATCACCCCGTAGAGACCTCTCCCCCCGGGGTCGCTCCTCACCTCGATGGGACACCTCCCAGCTGAGGCCCAGCTCCCCCAACCTCACCCCCATCCAGCACCTCTCCCCGGTCTGCATGGAGAGGCCCCTGTCCACAGGCGGAGTGGACCTGGCTGGGAGGAGGGAGCCATCGGCCCGGGGCAGACAGAGGGTGGTGCTGAGGGCTGTGTCTCCACGTAGAGGGGGCTCACAACAGAGAGGGTCTGGCGATAAAACCAGGCAGCAAGCCAAGGCTGAACTGGTCCACAAGGGAGGAGCCATTGAAATGGATTTGGTATGTAATTGACTAGATTGACTAGTATGCTTGTCCATGCAAAACTAGTTGCACTGACTTCATTTCAACCATCTTTGTCAGCTGGGTTGTTAGTATTCTTGATATAAAACCTTTATTAATGTTTTTTCCACCATTGGAGTCCCTGCATTAAAACTGTAGAAAACTGTCTTCTGGTAGTCACTATAACTTGTTGTTTTTAGGATCAGAGGAGAAGCATGCCCCCCAGCCTGCCTGGTCCCTCCAGCTCCAGTTGTACCCATCAGAACCTCCTCAGCCACCTTCCCCTACACTCCCAGCAGCAGGCTCGAACTCTTCTCCCCATGGTCCCTATCGGGGGGATCCAGGTACTGCGCACTTTGCCCTCCTGCAGCTCTGACCGGACCCATCTGTCAGCCCTGTCCCCTCAGAAGACTGAGCAACACCAGGACAGCACTAAGGAGGGATCTGTGTGCGTAGCGGGCCCAGGTGCAGAGGACTCAGTAGCCCAGCAGCAGGAGAAGGAACGGGAAAGGGAGAGGCCGTCCCCCTACCAGACACCCTGGGACTCTGAGGAGGAGAAAGACCCTGTCTCTGTCCTCACGGTTAGGGACCCTAAGCAGGAAGAGGGTCTTCAGACCTGCACCAAGGCCATCGCCTCCCTCAGGATCACTTCTGAGGAGCATCTATAGACTGGGGTTGCATACCAAATGGCACACAATTCCCTATATAGTGCACTACTTTTGACTAGGGGCCCATAGTTGCTCTGGTCAAAAGTAATGTGCTCTATAGGGAATAGTGTACCATTTGGGACATACACTACATTACCAAAAGTATGTGGACACCTGCTTGTCGAACATCTAATTCCGCAATCATGGCATTAATATGGAGTTGTTCCCCCCTTTGCTGCTATAACAGCCTCCACTCTTCTGGGAAGATTTTCCACTAGATGTTGGAACATTGCTGTGGGGACTTGCTTCCATTCAGCCACAAGCATTAGTGAGGTGGGGCACTGATGTTGGGCGATTAGGCCTGGTTCGCAGTCGGCATTCCAATTCATCCCAAAGATGTTCGATGGGGTTGAGGTCAGGGCTCTGTGCAGGCCAGTCAAGTTCTTCCACACCGATCTCGACAAACCATTTCTGTATGGACCTCCCTTTGTGCACGGGGGCATTGTCATGCTGAAACAGGAAAGGGCCATCCCCAAACTGTTTGCAACAAAGTTGGAAGCACAGAATCATCTAGAATGTCATTGTATGCTGCAGCGTTAAGATATCCCCTTCACTGGAACTAAGGGGCCTAGCCCAAACCATGAAAAACAGCCCCAGACTATTATTCCTCCTCCACAAAACTTTACAGTTGGCACTATGCATTGGGGCAGGTAGCGTTCTCCTGGCATCTGCCAAACCCAAATTGTCCTTCGGACTGACAGATTGTAAAGCGTGATTCATCACTCCGGAGAACACGTTTCCACTGCTCCTGAGTCCAATGGCGGTGAGATTTACACCACTCTCCAGCTGACGCTTGGCATTGCGCATGGTGATCTTAGGCTTGTGTGCAGCTGCTCGGCCATGGAAACCCATTTCATGAAGCTCCCGACGAACAGTTCTTGTACTGACGTTGCTTCCAGATGCAGTTTGGAACTCGGTAGTGAGTGTTGCAACCGAGGACAGACGATTTTTACGAGCTTCAGCACTCAGCGGTCCCGTTCTGTGAGCTTGTGTGGCCTACCACTTCGCGGCTGAGCCATTGTTGCTCCTAGACGTTTCCACTTCACAATAACAGCACTTACAGTTGACCGGGGCAACTCAAGCAGGGCAGAAATTTGACAAACTTGACTTGATGGAAAGGTGGCATCCTATGACGGTGCCACATTGAAGTCACTGAGCTCTTCAGTAAGGCCATTCTACTGCCCATGTATGTCTATGGAGATTGCATGGCTGTGTGCTCGATTTTATACACCTGTTAACAACGGGTGTGGCTGAAATAGCCGAATCCACTAATTTGAAGGGGTGTCCACATACATTTGTATATATAGTGTACCTTGGAGCTTCCTCCAGGAGCAGCTGAGCCTCTCATCCATCATCCACTCCCCAGCTTGCCTGGTCCTAGATCTGTTTGTGCTGTCTTGCCAACTTCTATGGTAGTTGGCAAGAGAGCACAAGCAGATCTGGAACCAGAATACATCCACAGTCCCTCTCAACCTCATTCCTCTAGACAGACAGACAGGCAGACATACAAAATGACTTCATCCAGACCCTTTTGGTTGGATGTTGGAGGCTCTCCTCTCAGTCGGTTCAGGTTTCTGCATGTTAGTAGTGTAAAGGCCATGCATCTAACAAGCCCCTCCCCTCCCGTCTCCCTCCCACAGACTATATCTATATCTGAGTGAAGAACAAACCTTCATGCTCTCTATGAATTTCTCAATGAATTAATCGTTTTTGAACATTTAGGTCAGCAGAATCCTTGTAGCAAAGGACAAGCAAGAAGTCAGTTGAAGCGGTGGACACAGATGCAATACATGGGATTAAAGTAAATGCTTATACATTAATTAAGCTTGCATACACTTGCACACAAACAGAATTTTGATATTGATTATACCCCATAACCCACTCTTAACACATACAGTATGTGCATACACATGTACAGTGGGGAGAACAAGTATTCGATACACTGCCGATTTTGCAGGTTTTCCTACTTACAAAGCATGTAGAGGTCTGTACATTTTATCATAGGTACACTTCAACTGTGAGAGGCTGAATCTAAAACAAAAATCCAGAAAATCACATTGTATGCTTTTTAAGTAATTCATTTGCATTTTATTGCATGACATAAGTATTTGATCACCTACCAACCAGTAAGAATTCCGGCTCTCACAGACCTGTTAGTTTTTCTTTAAGAAGCCCTCCTGTTCTCCACTCATTACCTGTATTAACTGCACCTGTTTGAACTCGTTGCCTGTATAAAAGACACCTGTCCACACACTCAATCAAACAGACTCCAACCTCTCCACAATGGCCAAGACCAGAGAGCTGTGTAAGGACATCAGGGATAAAACTGTAGACCTGCACAAGGCTGGGATGGGCTACAGGACAATAGGCAAGCAGCTTGGTGAGAAGCAACAACTGTTGACGCAATTATTAGAAAATGGAAGAAGTTCAAGATGACGGTCAATCACCCTCGGTCTGGGGCTCCATGCAAGATCTCACCTCGTGGGGCATCAATGATCATGAGGAAGGTGAGGGATCAGCCCAGAACTACACGGCAGGACCTGGTCAATGACCTGAAGAGAGCTGGGACCACAGTCTCAAAGAAAACCATTAGTAACACACTACGCCGTCATGGATTAAAATCCTGCAGCGCACGCAAGGTCCCCCTGCTCAAGCCAGCGCATGTCCAGGTCCGGATGATCCAGAGGAGGAATGGGAGAAGGTCATGTGGTCTGATGAGACAAATATAGAGCTTTTTGGTCTAAACTCCACTCGCCGTGTTTGGAGGAAGAAGAAGGATGAGTACAACCCCAAGAACACCATCCCACACCATTGCTTTTCTGCAAAGGGGACAGGATGACTGCACCGTATTGATGGGAGGATGGATGGGGCCATGTATCGCGAGATCTTTGCCAACAACCTCCTTCCATCAGTAAGAGCATTGAAGATGGGTCGTGGCTGGGTCTTCCAGCATGACAACGACCCGAAACACACAGCCAGGGCAACTAAGGAGTGGCTCCGTAAGAAGCATCTCAAGGTCCTGGAGTGGCCTAGCCAGTCTCCAGACCTGAACCCAATAGAAAATCTTTGGAGAGAGCTGAAAGTCCGTATTGCCCAGCGACAGCCCCGAAACCTGAAGGATCTGGAGAAGGTCTGTATGGAGGAGTGGGCCAAAATCCCTGCCGCAGTGTGTGCAAACCTGGTCAAGACCTACATGAAACGTATGATCTCTGTAATTGCAAACAAAGGTTTCTGTACCAAATATTAAGTTCTTCTTTTCTGATGTATCAAATACTTATGTCATGCAATAAAATGCAAATGAATTACTTAAAAATCATACAATGTGATTTTCTGGATTTTTGTTTTAGATTCCGTCTCTCACAGTTGAAGTGTACCTGTGATAAAAATTACAGACCTCTACATGCTTTGTAAGTAGGAAAACCTGCAAAATCGGCAGTGTATCAAATACTTGTTTTCCCCACTGTAAATGTGGACTACTTTGAAAATAGGCTGTTATTGGATTAATACCGAGTGATGATAGTTAAGGATTTGATTCTTGAAGAAATTGGAGAGGAAATAACAAGGAAAGTATCTGAAATATGAAAGTATTTGAAAACTGAGTCTGACCAAATTTAGCGTAGACTTGCTTCTTGTCCAGTTTGGTGCTTTTGATTGAACAGCAAAGGTCTGTCTGTGCCTTTTCTTTGCTTTCTACGTATGCTTAAAACAAGCATATTAAGCAAGGGAAAAGTGATTTTTATTTTTAAGGAACTTTTAATTAGAATTATCTGACGTAACAGTGTTATTTATTATCAGTGAATATTGCACTAAAACATAGCTTTTACTTCGTGGAATTAAATTGCTGATTTGTGCAGCTACATGTAAATGTATCTATTTTAAATGTTTTATGTTGCAGATTCTCAATGTTGTGTTTTTATCTTTTTGGACAAAATGCATGAGTTTTTGCTATTGCACAAATAGAGAAGTGAATATTATGTATACTGTAAGATGTCTTTATATATTAGAAAAGTACTCTCTTATCGATGATGGAAAATATTTCTATTTATAAGCTGTATATTATCTACACTTATGCAACAGTGTGTCCCACTGGCCGATGCTTATGAGATGCTTATGAAGTCATGTCATTGCTTTATAACTTATGGCTTAATCAAAAAAAATGTTTTTGTTATTCTGGCCTTTGAAACTTTATGAATTTAAATAAGCACTTTCATCCTGTCTTTGATAACTGACTGAGATGGTTAGGAAGGAGAAATAAAAACAATCACGCGAGTTCAAACATTCCACTTCTTTTAAGTGATCGTTATCTACAGTGCCTTCAGAAAGTATTCACACCCCTTGACTTTTTCCACATTTTGTTTTGTTACAGTCAAAATTGATTAAATTTAGATTTTGTGTCACTGGCCTACACACAATACCCCATAATGTCAAAAATGATTTTTTTTTTTTTAAAAATTACAAATTAATTACAAATAAGTATTCAACCCCTTTGTTATGGCAAGCCTAAGTATGTTCAGGGGTAAAAATGTGCTTAACAAGCCATATAATAAGTTGTATGGACTCACTCTGTGCAATAATAATGTTTAACATGATTTTTGAATGACTACCTCATCTCTGTACCCCACACTTAATTATCTGTAAGGTCCCTCAGTCGAGCAGTGAATTTCAAACACAGATTCAACCACAAAGACCAGGGAGGTTTTCCAATGCCTCGCAAAGGGCACCTATTGGTAGATGGGTTAAAATAAACAAATCAGACATTGAATATATCCCTTTGAGCATGGTGAAGTTATTAATTACACTTTGGATGGTGTATCAATACACCCAGTCACTACAAAGATACAGGTGTCCTTCCTAACTCAGTTGCCGGAGAGGAAGGAAACTGCTCAGGAATTTCACCATGAGGCCAATGGTGACTTTAAAACAGTTCCAGAGTTTAATGGCTGTGATAGGAGAAAACTCAGGATGGATCAACAATATTGTATTTACCCCACAATACTAACCTAAATGACAGAGTAAAAAGAAGGAAGCCTGTACAGAATATAAATATTTAAAAACATGCATTCTGTTTGCAATAAGGCACTAAAGTAAAACTGCAAAAAATGTAGCAAAGAAATTAACTTTATATCCTGAATACGTTATGTTTGGGGCAAAATCCAACACAACACATCACTGAGTACCACTCTTTATATTTTCAAGCATGTTGGTGGCTGCATCATGTTATGGGGATGTTTGTCATTGGCAAGGGAGTTTTTTTGGGGATAAAAATGAGCACAGGCAAGATCCTAGAGGAAAACCTGGTTCAGTCTGCTTTCCAACAGACACTGTGAGACAAATTGACCTTTCAGCAGGACAAAACCTAAAACACGAGGCCAAATATACACTGGAGTTGCTTACCAAGACGACATTGAATGTTCCTGAGTGGCCTAGTTACAGTTAAATTAAATTTGCTTGAAAATCTATGGCAAGACTTTAAAATGGCCGACTAGCAATGATCAACAACCAACTTGACAGAGCTTGAAGAATTTAATAAAAAATAATGTGCAAATATTGTACAATCCAGGTGTGCAAAGCTTCGAGACATACCAAGAAAGACTCAAAGCTGTAATCGCTGTCAAATGTGATTCTAACATGTATTGACTCAGGGGTGTGAATAGTTATGTAAATGAGATATTTCTGTATTTCATTTTCAATAAATTTGGAAAAACATAATAATCAAAAAACATGTTTTCACTTTGTCATTATGGGGTATTGTGGGTAGATGGGTGAAAAAAATTATATTTAATCCATTTTGAATTGTAACACAGCAAAATGTGAAATAGGACAAGGGGTATGAATACTTTCTGAAGTCACTGTAAGTGTGCATGTACAGTGCATTTAAGTTTTACAGTTTTCTTCCCTTTAATTTTAAGTGTGAATGTTCTTTTAGGTTTTAGGTAAAGAAGATGGGTGGATTGATTAATTTGTTTCAGCTAAAAATGTAAATACTTGTACACTGAAATTCATATTTCCTTTATGTGCAATTGTTTTTGTCTATTGAATTTGCAGTGTTGAATTCACAACTTTTTAGGTTGATTGTAGATATATTTTAAGAGGTAAAAAATTATGGCTGCATTTCAAATATTGAAGTTAACATGATGTTAGCAAATCTATTTGACATTTCCAGTTTCACAGTTGAGACATGAGTTTGTGGATTGATTTAAAATACACAACTCAACACATGATTACATTACAGGCACAGTGTTATACTCAGCTTTAACTCTCACCATGATGTCTGGGGTAGCTATCACTTTAACGACTCAATTTACATGCTATCACAGGTCATACTGTATGGCAGTGGCGATTTTAGCATGTCAATCTTGGTGGGGCAAACTCCCATTTTATTTTTTAGATGCATGCCAGAAAAGCAACACAATACTAAACAATACATGAATTGCACTATAATGGTGACAAACGGTGACCACAAACTGTTAAGGGCCTACATACAGGGGCTTGTGAAAAGTATTCACCCCCCTTGGCATTTTTCCAATTTTGTTGCCTTACAACCTGAAATTAAAATGGATTTTTTTGTGGGCTTGTATCATATAGATTTACACAACATGCCTACCACTTTGAAGATGCAAAATATTTTTTGGGGTGAAACAAACAAGAAATAAGACA